TTCTGTATGCTCTCATCTGGGAGGTACTGTTTTGGCAATGCTTGAGTTTTTGGAAATTCTGAAATAGGAGCACCCATTGGGACTATTCAGTTTCATTTTTGGTAGTACCATGTTTTGGAACTCAACTCATGGTAAAGCTTTTACCTCTCTTTTATCCACCACTTTCAAAGGAGTTCGGACGTACAGCTTTGAGGTGGCATACTGTAGAAGCTGTTTTTTTTAATATTACAATTAAGAAATCCTTTTTATTTTGCAGTGTTTTTACAGATAGCCTGTATAAGCTTAACTTGCAGTTAACTTGAGGAGATAGAGCCGAGGAATTTTGCTTGCAGAGTTGCTACAGAAGTGTGCATCTAAGTAAAAAGAAAACAGAAGCAGTGTGATAACCAACTTGAAAAATAACTGTTGTGCAAGACAGTGTGGTAACCGTTTAGGCTTCTGTGATGGAAATGAAAGCAGAAGTATTAAACAAACATTTTAAAATATGTGTGCAAGTATGGATTGTCTCTTCCCATGTAAGACACTGTTTCAGATTGCTTAAATCTGAAGACCGCTTAGTTTTTTCTCAGACCTGTGGCTCACTATGTAATTAAGCTTAGCAATGCAGAGTTTGCTTTTCTGAGTGTTTGGTGATCTTGGTTAGGTGCACCTCTTTCTAGTGAGTTCTGGCCCTTAAACTGTCATTTGGGGGGGAGGGTAGCCCTTCTCAGGGTGTACTCCACGGCAGTCATCGGATGCTAAAAGCTTAATAACAGTGCCATGTAATTCTGCTCTGTGTTTCTTGGGTAGGATGTGATGTCATGTAGCTGAAGAATCCTATGAACCTTGATGCATTGCACAGAAATTACATAGCTGAAATATCCAGCGAACAGAAAAAAAGATGTTTTGGAACATAGATTAAGCATAAGGGAAAATGTAATGTAATATAAATGTAAGCAATATTAATATGGTCTTGAGAAATGAGTGCATGTGAAATATTTTGTCCTTACAGCTTTTCATGGAGGAGAATAATCCCAGTAGTGTATTTGACAGTATCTTTTTTCTATCATCTCAACAAATGGAAGGTTTTGGTAGCTGTGTTCCCCATGTGCCTAGTTTACTGAAATTTTGGTAACTTTTAGAACTATATGAATTACCTACTTAGGTGATTGTAACAATTATGTAAGTAAATGTTATATAACCATTTATGCCTAGATGTAGCCAAACTGATGTGCAATTGAGAGGTAGAGTAAAATATTTCTAGATTTTTTTTTTTTTAGTTTCTCATAAGAATGGCCTTTTTCCAGAGGAGCTGAGTACAGTATGCTCCCCCTGATAGCTGCTTGGTTGGTTGGAGTCTGCAGTGGTAGTGCCTGGTCTGAGCTCTGGCATCGGCCTTTTACACGTGATTACTTTTTCTTGTTACTGAGGTAAACCTCCTTATGGCCGGAATGTGCACAGATTGCTCAGATGAACTCGCTCAGCCTCTGAAGGTGAGTTGCTGGTGAGCTTCCTCTGGCGGCTCAGCAGAGGCCTTGGCAGCCTCTCCCTGCCCGGGTGGGGTGAGTTGAGCTTACCAATGAGTAGGCCTGTAGCCACAGGCCTTCCAGAACAGGAAGCTGCTCGGAGGGGACTGAAGGAGACTTGGTTGAGGGGGGAGCTGTTAAGGTTGTCGGGTGGCAACGTGTACTGTCAGGCTGTCATATGAGTTTGTGAAGCTGTTCCCGCAAGGCAAGAGGTATGTGTTTGCAGGGAGCATTAACTGTGTTTTGGCAAGGCAGCCTGAAGCTACCCTTACCTCTTCCGGAACACTGAATTCAGGGGAGTTGCATATTTTAGACAAATGTGTTCGGAGGCTATAAATAATAGGCCATTAGAAATTTGCATGGTCCCGTTATATATGCATAGTATTTTTGGAAGTCTTCACTTCTGTGTGGGACTATATCACTTAATTTTTTAAGTCCTTCTGAAGAGTGGGAGAATACAGTGGAGAAATACATAAAATTAGTATTATATAGTTTTCCAGTTTTTGTAGTCTCATGTATAGAAACAGTGTAAGTTGTACGAGACAAACTGTTCCATAAGAAAATTTGTTTACCAGTCCTGTGTTTGAATTATAAAGGTGGCTCAGCTGTATCTCACATCATAGTTGGGTGAGAAAGATTAGTTTCCCACTCCAGAACGTGGGAAATGAGGAGTAGCTGGAGTTAGGAAGAGATCAGGGTGGAAGACCAGGAAACTGCAGTGGAGGGGTGCAGGAAATGGGTGGGGAGTTGAGGAAATGTGTTTTTCCTAAAATGTAAAATTAATGTAAAATCTCCCAACTAAGCATTGAAACCCATTGAGAAAACTTGTCCCTCAAGTAATAGATTGTTACGGACAACAGCTTTCACTACTACTGCTTACATTGTTCTCCTGTTGATTTATGAGGAGAATGACTGTGGGTCTGTATGAATTTTCTCTCTCCCTTAAGTTTTAAGTTGTTTTTCTTTCCCATTTCCTCTCTGTTGTACATTTCCTGCAGCTTAAGCACTTGCAGCGAAGGTCTGAACAGTTAGGAAATGTTGTCTTCTCTCTATATCCTTCAGTCAGCTCTGTTCAGAAGTACTTACAACTGTGTTGGAACTCCATTAGCCCACTTTAAAGGTGTGATCAAGGTCCCACAAAACATAGAGCCCTATAATTATGCCGTGACAAAATCCATTAACTTTGTTTAGCATTTAATTAAGCAGGTAACTTTGAGATTTAGCTTGTTAAAATATCCAACTATGAGAGATTCTGCAGGTATGAGTAAAACTGCTTTGCTTTGGTTCTGCAGTAAAAATATAAACGGCTTAGCATTACAGTTATGAGGGAAAAATCAGATTAACCAATGATATAAATAATACCTTCTTCAGTCCATAAAGTCTGAAACATTACTGTGTTTATTTTAGCCCTACATACTCATGGCGTAAAGGTAACCTGTGTATTTGTGCTTTACAACTGCCCTTTGTGGTGTAGGCATACTTCTAGTTGCCCAAATGTGGTGCAGAGCAGGAACCGCCAAACAATGCTGGCTGAGCTGCTATGAATGGTTTTAATAAAAAGAGCTCCCTTCCTTCCTGAAGGAATCATCACAGTAGTCCTGCTAGTGGAGGGAGCAATGCTAATTTTCCTTCATATCATACTGGCACATCTGTGCTGTCTGTAGTCCCAGAACCACTTTGGTCATCGCTAGTGTGAGGGATTCTGTTCTGTGCTGTCACATTGATGGGTCTCAGGAGCTGTAATGAACCTGCCCCAGCCCAGGTGTGCACAGGTAATGTTTGCTGAGGCTTCAACACTGCCAACTCAGATTGGACGTTTAAGAATCTGCTTTTTGAACCTGTAGTGCTGTTATTTACATGACACAATAGATTATACTTATGTGAGTGCTCCTTATGAATATTATGAAGAGGATCAAAGAATATCAGTGAAACAGTTTTGGGAAGAGGTTAAGAAATTTTGTAAGTTACAATCAGCTATCACTCATATAGAAGATGTTTTCAAAAATGACAGATTTTCTCCTTGTTTAATATAATTAAGTTTTTTTTAATAAGCAGAACTAAGCCTTCTTTCTTATGAACTGATGCTTCTCTAACCTCCTGCTTTACTATCAATTTATACTTCCATTTCCTTCCTGCCCCAGATCCCAGTATTGCCAGCTTCTTTCTGTGTCCACCATCTGCGGGCTGATCAATGTGTGGCCAATTCTGACCTAAGTGTCAGCCAGTGCATCAATAACAAGGCCATATTAACTTGGGGCTCTTTTCTTCCAAATTTAATGAAACTTCTTGTAAATCCATGCATTTAACACATTTGTGTTTTGTCAAATATGATTAAAATTGTGAGATAGATTTAGTCCCATCATGCTTCATTGTCTCTGGAAGGTTATTAAAATAGCTTGGTTTTCAGATCGGGAAGGACACCTTCTCCCTGGCAATGTGAACAGTGTAGTGTGTTGCTGTACTGCATTTTTGAGTTTGGGATGCTGCATCAGAGGCTTTATGTGTATTGTTCTTCCATCTCACAGTTTTCTACTTCCTCTTTCCACAACCAGCAAAGTAGTTAGAGCTGCTTAAATCTTAAACGTCATAAAATCATATCTGTGTCGAGGAGAACAGTGATCAGTGTTGAGGAACTTGTTTTATTAGAGGAGTTTTTTAAACAAATACCAGACTTCAGTGGTAAGAAGAGAGATAGGATGAGAAGATGAAAAACTGAAGGGAAAGCATAAAAACCAACCAAAAAAGAAAAAACCCCAAACCCTAGAAAAATAAAATTCATAGTTATGGAGAGAAAAATCGAGCACACTGTTGTTAAAGACAAACTCTTAGGGTATTCGTTCAGATTGTGTGCCTTTGTGCTTTGGCTGTTGCTGCAGGGAGATACCTAAACAGGTGAGGGACTGAAACATTGACCCGGGGTGCAGGATGGAGGAGACCAACACGGAATAGGCTGGGGAGGGGGGAACAGAAGCTTCGCTGCCAAGTGCGGTGTGTCGGGTCTGGTTAACGAAACCCTCGGAACGTGAGCGTGGGATGAGAGCCTGGGAGGTCAGGCTTCCCCATCCCAGCAGCTGCTGCCGCCAGATTCTCCACAGTCTCGTCTGTACACAGTAACCTTCTGAGCTAAGAGTTAGAATGAAGGCAGGAGGTCAGAGACTTCTCTGAATAAGGTGACATTTTCTTAACCAAACGTGGCTGCAGTTCCAGTCTGTTCATCCTGGATGCTTGCAGCTGAGCTGGTGCAGGGAGCGGTGTGTTCTCTGGGAGGTGCAGGGGATGTGGGGAAATGTTTTGGTGGGAGTAGGGAGCACTGTGCAGATTGCTGCAAGTGAGAGAAAATACTGTGTGCAGGTGGCTTTTCTAAAAACCAAAATGCCTTTTTTTAATCTCTCCTTGTAGCAGTTAGTAGAGGTCCGGGGAAGGTTCTTGGTCCCAGCATGCTAATGCTTTTATAAACTTGGTGTAGCACATGTTATCAGAAGGCATCTGTCCAGACATACCTCATTGACACTTTACAAATTGTAGTGGGTTGACATTTTAAAGAGAATATACTTTTACTTTCACAGATTAAGCTACCACCAATGATGGAAATCATAACGGCTGAACAGCTGATGGAATACTTAGGTTAGTAACTAAAATAAATGGTTTTCAATTCTATATTCTACTTATTAGTGAGTAGTAACAGAGGAGGACTGTTTTATTTATTTACTATTCAGCTTTACTTGAATGCATGCTTCAGTAAAACTACTTATATTATTTAGTGGCTCATGCTTTTCCTTAATTGCTTTTAGAAGTTTTCTGTACTGCTTTCCTGAGTGGTTAGTCTAGTGATGCAGTTGGTTTGGTATAGTAAGTTGTAGTGGCCAAAATAAGTGAGTCATAGTGGTGTTCTTTCTGCAGGGCAGGGCCTGTTTATTTTCTTTAACCTCTCTTTTTCTTCCTACAATAATACACACTTACACAGTAATACATACTTATGCCTCATCCAAGCTCATACTTCATAATAAGCAAATCAACAACCAGACAGTGATCAAACCTGTCTCCCATCAGACAGTTCCACCCACCTTAGCACAGTCTGGCAGTTTCTTATCTCTCTCCCAAGGGCTGTTTCTCCTCAAAGCCTTTCTCCTTCTCGGGGGCAGTGCAGGACAGAGCTGACCTGAGCAGAGCTCTACAGCCAGTGTCGACTTGGCTCTTAAGTCACTGAATCTCTCACAGCTGTGCAGAGCTGACACTCCCACAGTTTGGCTCAGTACACCAACACATTGGTAGATTTAAACTTACTCATGTCTCTTACAGGGTTGTGTTGTTACAGCTGACAGAATGTAGTAAGTCAACCGTGCCTTTGTCTGCAGTAACTCTAATCCTTGGTAGTATGGCCCAATTAAAGTAACAGGAGACCTTACTTTACTCATCACAGTGATTGAGGTCTGGTTTGCAGGCACTGCTGCACTATCAGATTCGCGCTCAGCACAGCAGCAGCTGTTTCCATCTGACAGTCTGTAACTGCAAGAGCCTGGAATGGTCCAGGTGTTCAAAGTGCCATTGCACTAGTACTTAAGCTATATGTACCACAGTTCTTTCCCTTTGTAGCCTAACAAATAGAAAATGTTTGAGCTTAATACACTAGATTTGTGGGTTTTTTTTTTTAAGCAGGAGAAAAAACCCCACTATTTTTTTCCTTTTTGCTTGTAAAGCATGTAGCTTGTTCTTTTTAAAGGCATATCGCCGAATCTTTCAGTGGAAGTAGTAGTTAATTACATAATTAAAAATAAAAACCTTTCTGCCTATGTCTAAACATTTCTTCTAATTGTGTTGATAGAATAATACTGTCTGAAGTCACTGCATAATCACAGTTGGCTAAATGTGTGTATTCTTTCTTGAAGGCATATATTAGCTTCTGGGATTACCTTACTAAATTGATTAACAATTACCTGCTCAAATTATTTAGGTTCCTATTTAGTCAACAGGGTTAACAGTTGCCAAATGGTGGTTCTACATCTTAAAAAAAACCCCAAACCCCTTCAACCACTTTGAACAATCTTAATTTAAAAGATTATAAATCACAAAACCTGTAATGATATTTTTCTATGAGCAGAAACATATTTTTTAGGAATGGAGCAGGGGAATAAAGATGAAAAGCATTGAAATAAAATCTGAAAAATTTGGGAGAAGCAGTTTATGGATACTGTTCACTAAAATGTTACAAACCTTGAACAACCCCAGTGTGTTGATTAACTGATTAATTACCTTTGTGTTGTAGATGCAGATGGAATACAAGCCTTTCAGAATTAGAGGCATGAAAGCATACACCAAAATATTCATAGTATCAGTCAGGATAAGTGGTTGCATTTTTAAACTGTTATGCAATTGCACATCTTAATGTGAACAGTTTGACCTTTTTGTATTTGTAAGTTGAGGCACAGAGGGAGGTAAATTTCTGAATAATTAAGAGATTGGTATGATACCCCAAGAGAAGATGAAATGCTCCTTTAGTAACAACATTGGCCATTTGAATTTCGTTTGATAATGTGATCTTACTGTGTTTTTTATACTCATATTTTACTCCATAATTATAATTCAGGTTATAAACAATGTGATCTCATTAATTTGGTAGAAAGCTTCAGTGATGGCATTTATGATCATTCAGAAGTGTTCATAGAAATTTTGAAGCTTTGAGTGTGGAATAAACTTAATTTCCTTTTTGCTTTTAGGAGACTATATTCTTGATGCAAAACCTAAAGAGATATCTGAAATTCAGCGCCTAAATTATGAGCAGGTAAGGAGCTGCTGCTAAATTAAAATTGTCTGAAGGAACTTTTTTTCCTCACCTGAGGTTTATCATCTTGTTAAAAAAATCAAAACCATACAACCATTGTTTGTAGGTATTCTTTTTGTCCAGGCTTGATGTAGAGTATTATTTATAAATGCTTCCTGTTAGTGAGGAAAAAATCGGTATCTATGAACACAAGTAATTTTTTTTTTTTTTGCCTGCAATGAGTATAATGAAAAAAATTTTGTTTTATTGAGCAATTATAACACAAAAGTACAGATGGAAGTATTTAACAGGGTGGTTGCTCTATGAAGTCTTCTGTTATGCATCTCTGATGCCTGCTGGGCTTTCTCTGAGAAAGTAAACTGAGCAGGAAAGATCTCTGTTCTTAAGTTGTGATGGACAAAAAGAGGTTGATTCTGTATTATGAAAGGCTGTATTATTTTCACTGACCACTATTTTTATGTCATCACAAAAGTGTTTCTATGTGAAAGATAATGCTATTAGTTTTTTTTTAAAATGATGTTTATATATTATTTTGGAGGAAATTTTTCAAGCTCTGTGGTCACTGGTGGTTTTTTGATTACTCACGGAAAAGTGATTTGTATTTATTGTAGGTGTTCAGTTTCAAGCTAGTTCTATTTATTTTTAGGCCTTCTTTTCTTGCTCTCATTCAGTGTTGAAAATCAAATTGAGTATCTTGGGATAGTTGAAATTAGCATGAAGATTGAATGGATTCTTTTAATGTTGTAAATATACTTATAGAGGCATAAATGGTATCACATGAGGGGAGAAAGAAACTAATTGGGCAGCTGAGTTTTACAAAATTATTACATTTCAGAAGCATTGGAACTGAGTCTTGGTGTTAATCATAATTTTGTGTTTATCTTGTCACACAGTTGATATTCTTTGCCTAAAACAATATTTTCTTCTTGCACAAGAAATTCCAGTAAATTTTTCAGACAACTGGATTTGTAGTGCTTAGAATTGGATCATGAAGCATTGAATGATGTAGCTACTTCACTAAGTATGTTTCCTTAGTGAGTGTTGTATGGTTGAATTGGTATGTTCCTTACAAGACCGAGTTACAGGATGCACAGACTGATTTCTTAAACTGACTTTCAATTGATGGGACAAGAGAGAATGGCTTCAAGCTGCCCAGGGCAGGGTCAGGCTGGCTCTGAGGAAGGATTTCTGTGCAGAAGGGGCTGTTGGGCGTTGGAATGGGCTGCCCAGGGCAGGGGGGGAGTCCCCGGGATCCCTGGAGGGGTTGAAGAGTCGGGCTGAGCCAGTGCTGAGGGATCTGGGGGAGTTGGGAAGGGTCAGGGGGAGGTTCAGGGTTGGGCTGGAGGAGCTGCAAGGGCTTTTCCAACCCAGATGATTCTGGGATTCTGTGACTTCTTAAAATATTAGGTCTGTCTCACATTCTAATATACAGGTTTGTGTCTAGAGCATTCTGCTCTATTAATGTGCACACTGATGTGCTGCAGAAGTGAATGTTCAAGTAAATGTATTGGTTATGTTGCTGTTTAATGGATCCAGTTATCTCTAATTTTCCTGCATTTCAGCAAGTTGCTTTTAATTTGATAAAGTAACTCATCACTCTGTACCCCACTTATGCCTTGTTAGCCTACCTAGCTCTAATAGTTTTCTCATTATTTGTCCTTATGGTCAATCATCCTTATTCACAGTTATTTGTTTTCCCTTATTGATTCCATTAACTGTCTTATTAAAAGAATACAACACAGAGGCAACTGTCTCTAACAATCAGCGGTATTAGTCCGTGAATCTTTTGTCTCCATCTCCTTTCCAATCTGTTTTTCCATTTTTTTGCCATGTTTTTCTCCCCATTGTTGCAATCTGGAGTTCTTCTTAAGCAGTGGAATATTGCAAAACTAAGCCAAAAATCCCCCCCAAAAACAACAAACAAAGAAGGGCCTCAGTTTCCCCGATTTTTTTCCAGATACTTTCTGGTAATACTCTCTGTGGACTCTTCTCACTTAGTGGAAAATTCTTTTTCCTGCTTGTCAGGAAAGAGATGTCTGTTGGTTCAAGAGAACTGTCTCTCAAAGCACTTTTTCTTTGGTTTGTGTGATTGGATCTTCATAACTTTTTAATTCCCCTTAGGATTCCTTTGGGTTCACTACTATAATAAATGCTACTTTAATGACTTGTTTCCATGGTAGAATCTACAGGCCATTTAGAGGTATGGCCAAATTAAGATAGTAAAACGAACCAACAAAAAACTCAGATCCTACGTTGCTGTTCACTGCTTGACAACTCTAACTGGGGGGTTCAGTGCTTCAAGTTGATGTGTGAGGCTGGGTTCTGTTTGTTCATTTGTTGTGGTGGCAAGTCCTTCAGCCTGACTCATAAGGCAGCACTTAAAAGGGGAGAAGAAACTTCAAGAGAGGCCCTTAAAGATTCCCCTAGAACCCAGTTCTTGCAAACATCTGGCTGGTGGCTGTGGGAAGTGGAGCTAAAAGCAATAGGAGCTGCCTAAAAGCAGTTTATGAGCAGAAGAAACAACTCTCAGATACAGCTGATTGGAGGGAGCATTCTTATTTTTCATATCTCTTCTGGCACAGTGAGAATGAATAACATGAATATACACTGAAACAGTTGTTTAGCTGATTTCCCCTTTCATAAATGTGTTTTTAAAATGTTGAACTATGACTGCTAAGTGATGCTGGGTTACAAGAGTGACCACCAAGTGTACAAAGCTCTATTTGGTCATTGTTTTTTTCTTTCTGCTGTCAGAACATGAGTGATGCAATGGCGATTCTACACAAGTTACAGACGGGTCTGGATGTCAATGTGAAGTTCACGGGTGTACGAGTATTTGAATACACACCTGAGTGCATAGTGTTTGATCTTCTTGATATCCCCTTGTACCATGGATGGTTAGTGGACCCTCAGGTAACTTACTTTTTTCAATAATTCAAACAGAATGTAAGTTATGTTCCAGAATATTAACTAGAATCAATAATAATGATTATGGTAATGAATTTTTAAAATCTAGTCAGAAAAATTGGGTTTTCTTCAGAGAGGAGTGAGTACAGAATGTACACGTTCTTTAGTGTGGTAACTTTGCAGAGACTAAGTCTGTAGTCCAGCTAACTTGCAAAGCCTGTGTTGAATTAATGACTCTTCGGAGGGAGGTAGGAAGTTTCCAGATACAGTGTTCCAGACATTGTTTTTGGAAGCTCATTAGAAAACACTTGGAAGGAATGCAAGGTTACTTTCCTCCTTTACTAGTCACTGCTTTTGAGAGCTGAGGAAGTTAGAATGAATTAGAGAGAACTGCATCATTAACAAACATACAATTTATTTTTAATCATTTAATAAATAGTAAACAGATACTGTTTACTTAGGGGGAAACTGGTGAGTTTGGCTGGAATAATCTGCCTCAGATTTTTTCTTTTCCTCTTCATGCCTTGTTCTTGAAAGTTGCTGTTCTTTTACCCCATTGGGCTTCCCCCCACCCCAACTGAGCTGACTGATGCCCCATTGTCTCTCTCCTCCATCCACTTTAGCAACAGCTTTTGATGTTAAGCATTAACTTACAGATTTTTAAATGGGACCTGACAGCAAAATGTGTAAGTCTAGGGTAAAACTTTTTGGCCAAGTATTTTTAGGGGGATAATGTCCTCTGTTGAAACTCTTCTTATTTTCTTATGAATAATGCTGTAGGCTAACAGTTGTGTTCCGTTGTTCACAAGGGTAAGTTCTCTGTTTTGCACGTTCTTCCTTCTCCAGGTTGCTGACATAGTAAAAGCCGTGGGTAACTGCAGTTACAATCAGCTGGTGGAGAAGATAATTTCTTGTAAACAGTCAGACAACAGTGAACTGGTTAGTGAAGGTGGGTAACTTTTTTCTATGCTTTATCAAAGTAGCTACCATATCAAATATTAGTTAGATGTTTTGTATGTGGCCCTTTATGTAGAGACAGAAGTGTGAAGAGCTGTGCTCTGTCTGGGGAAGTTCTTTCCCTGGGCACACAGATAGCACTGTGCTTGTCTTACGAACCCTTTTAATGCAATTTCCAAACCAAGGATCAGCTTCATTCTCTTGATCTATTAAATACATTTTTAAAAAGCTGGAGATAACTTCCTTTTATGATCAGGTACTATGGGCAGCATTGAGATTTCATCTTTGCTATAGATTATCTCCTGTGTTTAGAATATAAATTGTATACTATGTGATGACAAGGAAAAACCAGTAATATTAGAATTGGATATAGCACTTCTGAACGCGACAGGGTTGTCTACAATGCTGAGCTTTTAGAACTTCTGACTCGTTTTAGATTTGTGGTCTATAGGGAAGAGATGGGAATAGTATTACCATTGTAACCAGGTCTTATATACCAGGGAGCATGTAAGAGGCACACATAACAGTGTGTATTGCTCTTGTAGGATTTGTAGCTGAGCAATTTCTAAATAACACGGCTACACAGTTGACATACCATGGACTGTGTGAGTTGACGTCAGCTGTCCAGGAGGGAGAGCTTTGTGTGTTCTTCAGGAACAACCATTTTAGCACCATGACCAAATATAAGGTACATTCAACATTTTTGTGTTTACTGTTGTTATTTGTGTTTTAATTGTTCTTGTAGATCTTCCCTTTATGTTCAGTTTTCTCCCTGTGTTAACACCCTTTGTGGTTATGTATAATGATGTACATTTCTTACATAGCTTAAATTTACTTGTACTTTGTGATTGGCAAGTATAAGGCTAATAAATTTAATTTCTTGTTCGTGAGGATATAAAACTTTGCTTTACATTTAGGTCAGTAGATAAGTAGCCTCATCATGGTTTTCAAAATACCAAATATTTGGAAAAGTTAGATGAACTACAATATTGGTTCTCTTTGTTAGGGAAGAGATTATTTTTTTGAATCTGAAACTGAGGAAGCAAAATGGTGAGAATTGTGAAAGGAGTATTCCAGGGTATGAAAAGCAGGTGACAATGTGGTTAATGCTTCTGGGGCTCCTTCCTTTGTGGCATGGAGAATCTGCCTTGGCAAGTTGGCAGTTATGTATGGAGCATCTTCCTTTTAGCACAACTTTGCTGTTACTGACATGATAGTATACCCGTATGTGTCTGACTTGGGTAGAAAGGGCCATGGTCAGATTGTCTCCTAAGATTTAATCATTCCCTTCAGTGATAAATGTGAATATTTTGAGGTAAACTTTTTATTGGCTTTCAATGTCAAATCATCCTTAGACATTTATCTCAAACATACATAGGAGTTTTCACCTTTGTATAGAACTCATGTAACTACATTTTGATTATTTGTATAGAAATAAGACTTTAATTTAATGTACACTTGCATTTATGAACAATGGTAATAAATACAAAAAAGGAGAGTGTGTACCATACCCAAACATTAAGGAACCACTGTTTGAGCTGTCTGTTACATGGTAACATCATATACCTCGTGTGAATGACACTAACTTTTCCATTTGGCAGGACTAGTCCTTTTTGTTCCCTCTGTCTGCTAATCTTGACTTAATATTTATCTTTGGCATTTTGAATAACTGCTCATAAGCTGAGCTAAAACTCTGAACAGTACTGATGAATAACAATTAGCTCTACAGACAGGTAACACATCTGGTTTTCTAATAGCTGCTTAGAGCACATCTAAGATTTGTTTTGAATCTGTACAGTGATGTTCTCTTAAAGTACTAGGACAGGTAAAAGGATCTTTCTCCTCCTTTGTTCTGTGTTTGTTTGTTTGTTTTTTTAAGTAAGAGCTGTGGAATATATCTGTCTATGGTCCAAACTGTAATTGTTATATTCCTGATGAAGCTGATGTACGTCACAGTTGTAAGTGGCATAGTTCTGCTTCTCTCCATGTAGCTCTTGCAGTAGTTGGTAGTAGTTTGTCATGGATGCCTGTACACTGTTTATGGTTACCTTCATTATGGGGGGGAAAAAACCCAACCTCAAAACTACTCGATTAAAAAAAAAAAAAAACCTAAGTAGAAGTACAGATGCACTTTCTGGGTACAAATGGTACCTAGAGGTGCAGGAAACCTTTACTATTTTTAAAGGCTATTCCAGATAAACCACTCATATCCTCTTGGAAATAATTCAATTTTGTGCTATTATTAAACTTTAATAATATGAAATATTCCTTGTATTAAATACAGTCAATGGGTATCATGTTGACCTTGTGAATTAAAAATACAGAATTTTGTTTGTAGAAGGTAGACTGTAGTCTTCTGGTGTGTGTTTGTCAGTGCTTTATCAACTTCATACTTGTAAACTACACTTAGTTGAGATCCTTTTCCTTAAAGCAACGCAACAGTTCAGCAAGTTGAATATCCAGTATTAATAATACAGAACAGGTTATGGCAGTGAGTAGAAATCTGTCTGAACTTTAAGCACTGAACCCAAGTCCTAATAAATACTGCGTTAAAATATTTGAAGAGTAGTATTATTCGTTAGCTGTGTATTTAAGCTTTACTGCTTCTAAGTCGCTGTGGTTTTAATCTTGTCTTTTTTGAAAAGTCTTAGACTTGTGAAATGCTAAGTTGTGGAACATGGGTGGTTGTTGTGTTTCATGGTTGTTGTGGTGGCCTCACTTGCAGCCACTGTTCAGTTTCCATGTTGTCTGCAGGCTTTTAGTTCCTGGGATTGTCACTTGAAACAGTGTTGGTCAGTGTGCCTTGGATTTCTGGTGAGTGGTATGTTACAGAGTTTGAGCTATCAAGAAACTCTTTCGGTAAAGACAGAAATTCTTTATTATTTTATTTTTTTTAAGTCAGCAGTAACCCTTCTGTCTGTTTCTAACCTACCTAACAATGGTTTTGCAATAGCTATATGGGACTAGGTGTTGTTTCATGGCAAGAAAGTCAGAAATGGACTTGACTTGGGCTTTTAGCCAAGATAAATATGCAAAAGTCTTTGGCCCCCCCGGGATACTAATACGAGTGTCAGAGTTGATATTTTTTTCAACTGCTTTACTCTTACCTTTTACTAGGTTTAATGCTAGCTCTGCAGATTTTTAATGGAGTTTCTTTTACTTTATGGTTTGAGCAGTAGTCAGAAAAGTCAATCAATTGGGAAAACTGAAGATACAACATACGCCAGAGAAAGTGAAGGTGTAGAGCTTCTAGGGACAAGAACTGTGCAATTCTCTGTAATACTGCTCTTCCCGCTTCCCCCTCCATAACTGTTTTATTTGGGTTTCCATATATTGGTTTGAAGTTAACAAATGGGAATTATACCTATAGTAAGTTATATATATAAAATAAAACTTGGGTATTTTTAGAAACATTTACACTCTGGATAATTAACAAGAATTTATAGTTAAAATCCCTTAAGTACATTAGTCTGTGTCTTACTGTAATGAAGCTAATACTTAAACTTTCAGTGAAAGCTTTCGTGTACAGTTGATAGCAACTTATACACTGGGGATATTTAAGTTCAGTGGGGATTTCTAAGGGTGATATTTTAGTGAAAGGACTTGGTTTTCAGTACTGTATTTCAAAAAAAGTAGAATGTACATTGATCTTAACTGCACTTAATGGAAGAAAGAAAAAAAACCAACCCTGGATTGCTAGGCTTTTTCAAAGGAAACGCAGAACACTGTTCAGGTTCTTTTATGTGCTTAACTTTTGTAGGATTGAGAAGGTGTAAGTAATTTAAGAAAAAAAAACACATGGTGATATTGAAATAATTCAAAGAACAAAATTCATAAATTGGAGACAATTTAAAGTTTTACATATTGGTTTTCCTAATAAAACAGATGAGCCCAAATTGCTTTGATTCTGCTCTGTATTGGTGCCACATGGCAATCACTTGATTGTGATTGAGCCATTTTTAATATTTGTGTTGCTTGGTTGAACAGATTGATTTTTTTAAAACTATATTATTTTTTTCCACATTCCACATGCATTTATCCATTATTCCTTAATAAAGAATAATCACGTGGATATTTTAGAGCAGAAATGAGAGAGGTGGAGACCGCTAAAGTCCTTTGTGCATATAATTCTGGGGTTTAAGCCTTTCTTACAAAGGGTTTGCAGTATTTATTATTTGATACATAGTATCTGTTTAAAAATAGAAGACTTACCAATACTGACACCACTTTACCCAGTTATCCGGAGTTTAGAGTAGCTTTCCCCTGTCAGATTAAAGGATCTTTACCTTGCTTTTGCATTGTTCATTTGAGAGGCCCGTTTTACTGAAATGGGAGTTATGTGGAAGTTTGAATAAACAGTGCAGTATTCAGAATTCCTCTATCTTTGCTTTGAAAATTTGTTCACAGGCTGTTGTTACACAGTGTTGCATAGTGGCAAGAACTCCTTGGGCAAACCGGTGCCCAGCTAGTGTGATTGTTAAGACTGGTTAATCTACTCATGCTGCCTTTGTGTCCAGTGTCTCTATTGACTCCAAGATATTTTTAAATTTTTTTGCATGAAAAGTAAAGGAGCTTGTAAGGAAGGGAACTGGAGTGATTCCTCACAAATGTGGCTTAGGATTATTTTTTAATTGTTACTAACCTAACAATAATAGAATAGGTGTCTGGTTTTTTACTCTTCAGTGCTTCTTGCAAGATCAGAAATATTATGCTTATGAATATACAGCAACATTATGAATATCTGGTGTAGATTAGGGAGGTATCAGTGCTGTTACATACTGTAGGCAAAAGTTTATTAACAGTCTCTGCTAGCAGACATTTAGAAGCAATTTCTACAGTAGTTACGGGGATGAAGAGAATACTTTGGGCTTTGAGGTGGACAAAAATAGGTGAGAAAATGCATTAGAACACTTTTAAAAACACTTGCATTATTAAAAAAAGTATTACTTATGAACAAGAGAAAAAGCAAAAGGGGGGGAAACTGGTTTTAGGTCACTGTATTTGAAAATATTTGTTACTGTTTTGAAAAATTCCAGTTTAATATATGGACACTCCTAAAAGGTTCATCTTCAGGCAGGTAACTATTGTTCCATTTTTACATCTCCTCCAAATTCCTGACTCTGGGAATAAGAGTTAAATGGAAAGGGCTGATTCAATAATAATTTTTCTGTTTTAGATACAGCGTTCACTTTAAAATTCTGGAAGTTGACAAGTAAAGTAACAATAGCAGAAGAATGGTGGGCAGTGAGTCTTTTCAGAAATTAGTGTCAAGTTTTGAAGTAATCTTCCTTGAAAGACTTCAGTGTTTTTATTAAAGCTTCTGAGTTGATGTCACCATGTAATTGTGAAGATTCACAGATTGCATTTCAGAATAGACCATCAGTGCAATTATTAGCTTATATTATTTAATATAGTACTGAATAATTTACTATTCCCATTCTGAAATGTTAATAAAATTTGCATAATACAATATGTTGTCATTTCTGATTTGAAAAAAGTTTTAGAATAATGTTTTTTATGAAAAACATATGTAACTTTTAAAAAAAATAATTATTGTATATAAAAGGAAAACAAATATGGCAATTCTGTAATATATTAGATATCTGTCAAAGTATGGTGAGTGCTAGTTAATAATGGCAGTTCAGTTACCAGATACTTAATCTCTTTGACTATTATTTGTCCATTTGCCCGAGTAGTCACTTATTCTACTTCCTGTCCCTTTAAATTGCATATTAATGGTCTTGGCTCATGTGATTATACAGTAATCATTTTCAGCAGTTAAAGATGTGATTTTTTTTTTTTTTTTTTGCCTTTGCTTTTCATTACACAGATAATAAATACATCAAATGATAATTCCCTAGATCAAGGAAAAACAGGACTGTAAAGAGGGGATCAGTTTGGTAAGAATATCTTAGTTCAGTTGGAACATTTTTCCCACTGATATGACTCTAATACAACCTGTTTTCTTTACTGAAAAGTAACAAGACACTTACCTGTTTGGATTCTTAAGTATGCGTGTTGCAATTATGTCTTCTAGTTTATAAATGTTGGGTTTCTGTTTCAGAACTCCACAGACTTTTATTCAAATACAAAGTATATTTCATAGCAGTAATTGCACTTTTCCGTAGGTGTTTAAGACGTCTGAGTTTGCCATAGTAGAGGCGATGTGTATAACTTCTTAAAAACTTGTTTAAATATTCTTCAGTTCCTTAGTAAGTGTACAGTTTTTATTCTGATGGTTACTCTGAATCAAATGGTGTACACTTAAAAAAAATTCTTAATTTTCTCTAACAGTTAAAATGTTAAGATAATCTCCAAATTAATAGCACTCATTCATGTCAACATTAAACACCTTTACAAAAAACAAGGGATCTTATCCAGAAGTCCAAGAGAAACATCTACATAGTCTTTAAAGGATAAGGCTTGAAACCTTTGTACTGTATGAAGCTGTAGGACAGGTGTTAGGCTTTCCTTTTCAGTTTTCTGAACTGCTGGAAACTTGTTAATTGGCATCAGAACAAGTAGTTCAAAAGCATTAGTTTTAACTACTGAATCTGGTCATGAAGTTAACCCAGGAAAGGAGTTCTTGTAACATCACCTGCAGCCTGCATCTGTTTTCATTTCAGAGAGGTTTTTTGTGCAAACCAGAGGACCAAGAGATCATTCTTCGGTAAAATAATCTTGCCGTTATCCTTATTTCCAGTTTTTTATATGTGAAACTATAAAATCTGGGCATTGGTCTGCAATATCTAGATACTGATTCTTAGGATAAATAATTATTCATAACTTTATTGTAGGCACAGTTTACCTTTAACAGTTATGCACTCCAGACTTTCTTTTATTATTTCCTATTGACAACAGTTGTTAGAAGATACTACTGCTGTATATTAGTGCTAGTATTTTTGGGGGCAGCGGTAACACATGAGACTGTGTGTTTATTTAAAAAAAACACATTTAAAAATAAACCTAAAAGATTAGCTGTAATAACTTAGAAATGGACAGTTAAGATTTTATGAAGGTAGAAACACATTTAGCTTGTAAAGTATGCTATTGTTCTTGGCAAGGTGTACTTGAAAAGCATATTTGTGTACATTTCGTTAGCTTCATTGCATGACCTTAGTGTGCTGATCACCCTGTTCTAGCTTTAACCCTGACTAGCAGGCAAATGCAGAATCAGGACCATGATCAATTAAGTCAAAAACACGTTATGTATTTTATCTTTTTTTAAAACCTCCTTCCTAATCTTTTAGCTCCGTGTAAATAAATGTTTCTACACTTAATTCTTACTGATTCTGTCACTGTGTGCCCTCTCCCTTTTTCTCCTTGTGTGTTGCACTGAGTGGAGCTGAAGTACAGAAACTCAGCTTGGTAGGCTACAAACGTGGTGTGAAACTACTGGGCACGTCAGGTCAGAAATCCCAGTGTTGTGTTGGTTGTGTACCGGTATCTCTTAGCAGCTGGACTGATCTCATGATCTGGTAAGTGCTGGAGAATGGTGGCTGGTTCCTAGCACCGGGCATGTCAGATTCAGAGGCAGCGTGAAGGTCGAATGATGAAAAGATTTTCTCATTTCACAGAATCTCCTCGGTGGAATTTGGGTGTGCCAGTGAAGCTGGCTGGGAAGAGAACAGGCATGGCACTAAAACAGTGCCTATAAAACCAGTCTGTAGATATGGCATCTGATGGTTTCTTGCAGGTAGAAGGAAGACAAGCATTGAAGGTCTAGGAAGGCTGATCTCTGTAGAGATGAGTTAGACACATTACACCTAATAGAAAAAGAGCTGACTCCTCCTGTTTTGTATATGAAACTGCATTACCACAAGTAACATGAATATTAGCAATATTATGGGGGTCCTTGGGAATCTGTTTTTTTGTGAAATTCCATTAAATTATACTAATATGAAGAGAGATCAGAGCACATGATAAAAACCAAAACGGGAAAGATGCATCTCTACTCTGTGCTTTCCCATTGCTCTTTCATTCCAACAAAGTGAAAAGGAGCTGACCCTTCCCGAGTACCAGGGAGCCTGTGTGTGTTGGTTTGCTAGGTTTGGTCAGAGTGAGACAGCATATTTTTAAACTATTCAGTTGGTATTGGAATTAGAATGGTATTGTTTAGGAAATGTTGTGATACATAGTGCAGTTTATTGTCTTTCACTGAGGAGCTGTATTGGTTTTTTTTATTTAATCTGACATTTTAAAAACCAGTGTTCAGGTAGAGTTCAACTGTGGAAGTCTTAAACACAGCAAGAACATGAGTTTTATTTAAGATTGAAAGAGATCTCCATTTCAAATGAGTGTTAACTTTAAAATATCTCTGAATGACACAGACTAGATTCTATTCCCATAAAGGTAATGATATACTTTAATATTTTCATGTGAAAAGTTCAGTTCACAATAGTTGGGAGACTTTGAAAGCATTAACATTTTCCTCTTTCAGTATTATTAAGCTACACTGTATATGAACTGTTGAAAAAGCAATGCCAAATGTATGGTATAATAGAGGAGAACTTGACACACACCCCCTTTTGTTTTTTTACTTTCTAGGTTTTGTTTGAATCAATGTGCTGGTCAAAATAATATTTAAAAGGTTCACAAACACTTACCTTAAAGATTCTGTGATATATTTTTTTAAAAAATTTTTTGAAAAAACTTATTATATATAAGATGCTGTAAAATAGGTCTTCTGTGCAAATTGGAAACATGAAATTTTTTCTCTTCATTTTCTTTGGGTGATTTTTAATCATCAGAAGTAGCATTCAGCTTTTAGGCAGGTTGCTGAAAGGAAGATGATTCCCTAGATCACCTTAGTGGCTGACAGTGGTATTTATGTCTGCAAGCATACCTGTGCTGAGGTAACTGCCATTTCAAAACTTGAACATATAGTAGTGTCCTTTGTGGGTTTATCTGTTCTGTTTGGCCTTTTGTATGAGTGTGTCTTGTGGTGTTAAGGAACACAGGAACAACTGCTGTGTGCCAGTCTTCAAGTAATACTTCTGTGTCGTATGATCTACCAGCTGCAGAGGGGTGGTTGTAGGATTGAAGAGATCTGATTTTAATTTCAGCATCTCTTACAGTCTTTTAATGACTTGAGAGAAATCAGTGAGCTAGTTCTGTACTTGCTGACTAGGGGCAATGTTTTCATTTTTTGCCCGTTCAGCCTATGAAATCATTAGAACAGGAACTGCCCCATGTGTTTTGGGGCATCTTTAGCACAGTGATCTCTGAGAACCCTTTGTGTGCTGCTGTAGTACAAACAGCAAATTTTTGTGGGTGTCACAATAAACTGCCTTGTTTTTTACAGCTAAAACACTGCAGCAAGTTTTGCATTGAGTATCTTAATCTGGTACATTCAGTAACACTAATGGCAGCTTCAGTCTTCATGTGCTGCAAACCATATTCTTGGTTTGGAGTATAATTCCAAAAACATGATAAAAAGGGTAGGATAACATTAAAATCTGAATTTAAATTGAAATTTAAACGTGGATTTTTGCAGTGCTTTGCTGTCCCTCAAGCATGCAGCACCTGAGGGCCTGCTGTTGCAATTTTCCTTTGATTTCAGCTCCTCTCCTGTCCCTTCAACCTAAGCTTGCATTTCATCTTGCCTGTACATTGGCTTCTGGACTTGTTAGTAGTGTCTCTTTCACTCCCAGACCAGCCCATTTTATAATTTCAGAGTTTTAAACAAGAAATTTGGCCTTACGGAACTGTAAAAAGGCTAAAATCCAACAAAAGCAGTTATTGGTGACAAGTGATAGCAAGAATTGTAGATTTAGTTTTTTCAGTTGAAATAAACCTCACATTCTGTCAAAACCCATTCTAAAATGAAGCCTGAGATGTCATTTTGAGGTCAAGCCTCTTGGATTATTTGGAAGGATCACCTTTATCTCTAGGTCTTGTCTTTGGAATTTAATGTGATTTATCCTGGGATTTAAAATTTACATTGCCAGTCTTGAGGTATACTTCTTAGGTGTGTTTCCAAGGAGTTATCAAGGTATATATTCATGTTTTATATTAATTTTTAGTCAATATGAACTTTAATAATGAAAAATTACAGGATGGAATACAGAAATTAAGTGTGGCTGTTAATTTAGCAGTGAATACTTTTATCTGCTGTTTGAATGCTGTATACTGATTCATTTAAATTTTAAACTTGCTAAAAAACCCTAAATGAACGTTTTACTGGAATGCAACAGCTGTATAGCTGATAATTTCTGATAATTATATCAGATTGTAAAAAATACTTTTTTTAGTTTTACAAGTTTTCTTTATTCTTCTGTGTAGGGTCAGCTTTACCTGTTGGTGACAGACCAGGGATTTCTTACAGAGGAGAAAGTTGTCTGGGAAAGCTTACACAATGTGGATGGTGATGGGAACTTCTGTGATTCTGAGTTCCACTTACGGCCTCCATCAGACCCTGAAACTGTCTACAGAGGGCAGCAGGATCAAATAGATCAAGTACTGGATTTCTGCCTTTCTATTGTGTTTTTCTGTTTGCTTGTGACTATATATAACAATCAGTACTACTTTGTAGTCATATGTGTGGATGCTTAGACAGAGGTGTATGTATGTGTACTCATGCATATATAGGACTATAAAAATTATTTTGGTTCGGGTTCTCAGAAGTGCTACTTTGAAGTATTTGCATGACTTCAAGGGAGGAAGAATAAGACAAAACTATAAATAGTTTGGAAAATCTGATTTTAATCACTCAGAATCCCCTTCTTCAAATAACTCAGGTGAAATGGCACATCTGCCTTGTGTGTGGAAACAGAGACCACTGTGAAACTCTGTCCCCTGTAACAAATTCATTTCCGCTCATTAATATTGTCATAACTGAGCTTTGCCTTGTAGCACAAAGCCCAGCAGATCGTGTGTGACAGTGGGTATTTGTTGTTTCTTGACTACACAGAATAGTTTCCAGAAGTCATGCCTGAGACAGGACTTGTACCAGTGAACGCATAAGCATGTAGCAAGATCAAGCTCCTTGGAAATCTTACATTCTGAACAAGCAAAATAAGTTTATTTTTATAGTAATCACTATTAATGTTTTGTAAATACTGGGAAAAAAAATGAATAAGCAGATGCTTTTCAATAAATTCAAGCACCATATCTTCCTGTTGTATAATAAAAAACCTGGCAGAGATAACAGGGCTAGTAACATCTTAGGTAGCTGTCTGGACATCTCTAAAACTACCTGTTGATTATTTTCTCCTCTGTTTAGGAGTTAGTGTTCCTTGGCGGTGTACTTCCCACACTGTTCAGTAGAGTGGTGACAGATAGAGCATTAATTAGAAATAGAAAATTAGATTAATTAGAAATAGAAAAGAGACAGCTTCAAAATCTTTACCTAGAACTGGTATGAACTGACACTTTTGCTGCTGTCCAGGTAATGAAATTTAAACCTGAAAGCAATTTCCTTTAAACTAGCTGGTGTTCTGTGTGCTGTGACATAGGCACGGTGAAAGGAGAGATGTAAAGTGGCTTTCAGCCTTTCTGCAGGTCAGGTTATGAACAGGTTCTGAAACCAACTCCTGTTTTCCATGAGGTAAATGTATTTGAAGACGAGGCTGTGAGGAAAGTGATGGTACTGTATAGCTGCAGAGGCTGAAAAAAAATCACTTGGTATGACTTGACTTTTTTCTGTGAAAGAGCATTAATAAGCAAGTTTACTCTTTAGGATTATCTGATGGCATTGTCTCTACAACAAGAGCAGCAAAATCAAGAGATTAACTGGGAACAGATCCCAGAAGGAATCAGTGATCTAGAGCTGGCAAAGAAGCTCCAAGAGGAGGAGGACAGGAGAGCTTCTCAGTACTATCAGGAACAAGAACAAGCAGCTGCTCAGGTCCAGGTAAGGGAGCAGAATATGGTCACTAATGTGGGAGTACTAACAATAGTTATATAGACACATCTCTGTTTGTAAATGTTTGAGACTGGCAAGACTGCTGTTGGCATTGTTCACAGCAAGTGATGAGATGAATATAGGAATCTTAAGAAATCTGCTGTAACTGTTGGGAGCGTGCATGAAGATAACAGCAGTAGCTGCCACTTTAAAGAAGGCCTGACCTTCTAAATTAGGGTTTCATTCCTACTATTTAAATTGGAATTATGGAATGAGTTAATATGTAAGGTTACAAAAATTGTATTAGCCAATACTTTGTTATTTGCAAAATAGCATTCAAATAAGCTTCTTGATAGTGAAGTTTTGTCTTCATTTTGTCTTGCAGAAGTTTGTTGCTTTATGTTTCTAGGGTTTTCAGTCTGTCATACCATGTGAATCTATTCAATCCAGTTTCAAATTTGGAATTAAACAGTTTCTCCCAGTACACTTTTTCCCATCCCTATAAGAAGTTGCTTTCAAAATGCTTGGAAGTTGCTATTCATGCACGTATATATACAAAATTGCCATATAACTGAATCGTGTTTGCAGGAGGCAAACTTAAGTTGGTGTTCTGGATTCAGGGAGTTTTTAACTGCTGACGACTTCTAAAACTGCTTTTATTAACAAATATGTAAAAATACGTATGAAGGCTGAATCTTTGGCCTGAAGTAATTCAGAACCATTAACCAGTGTGCTTGTTAAGCATGAAACAAGAATTTTGACAATTGAAGTTGTGTTATTTCCACCGCTTGTTGCTTTAATAGAATCATCAGTAGCTACTTCCAAGACAAAGATCCACCACTGCTGGCTGCAAAGAGCAGGAAGGGCTGAAGAACCTGCTTAACAGGACTTGGCAGCTTGCTTGCCTACAGCTCTGAATGGGTGACAGCTGGAATAGATGATGAATTAACACACAATATGTTGCCTCTGTATACCAACCCCCTTGGCAATTTCTTAACTAGTTTCTAGTCACAAAAAGCAGCTGCTTCTATTTTTTAGAAATAAGTTTTGTGGCAGTTCTGGAGTATTTATACAAAAGATCCCTACCTGAATTCTGCTGTTTGCATAATAGTTAAATTTTTGTCTGTGAACGCAGAGTAGTACTTCAGACTGCCTCTAAAATAATGGTTGTTTTATTCTAGATTTTTATTTTTCCTACACAGCAGGTGCAAGGTGCTGCTTCTCCAGCAAGTGGAAGACAATCTGGGAGTAATGAACGCAAACGTAAAGAGCCTCGAGAGAAAGAGAGAGAAAAAGAGAAGATTAGCTGTGTTCTCTTGTAATAGAAAATGGATTTAGTCTGGAGCCAAGTGCATGTTCTCAGAAGCAAAAACAAGGAGTAAAGGAAGACAAACCCGTTACATGCCGCCTGTGCCTGATTACCCCATGGATTTTGTTCATGTTTCAAGAGAGGATGGGTGACTTTGTTACAATCATACAGACTTCCTTCAAAGTCATAGTGCGTGCTGCTCGAGATGGGATTCCAAATCACAGTTGAATGCGGCTGTGCTTTGAGTTAGTCATCAGAAATACTGCACCTTGTAGCTGAACACACAAATCATGGCAAGTTTTGTGTCACAGTGACATCCATTACTCGTTACATCAGTTAGTAAGCTATTCTATCTTCTACTCTAAACAAAGGAGGTAACTTGGTTTGTGTAAGACTTTTTCCTGAAGTCTGCACACTAGCACAACAGAGTTCTGTGTTACTTATGTGGTATGAAACTCTATCTTAGGCTGGGTATAGTCTTCACAACACCAGAGCCCAAATAACAGCTGGGCACTGCCTCCTCAGTGTGTCCAGATTTCTTTGCTTCTGGATCTGGTATGTTCGGTTTTTTGAACCCAGATTTATACTGTGTTACTGCTATCATTGCACCTCCTGGCCAGCTTTCTTGCCCCAAGAGTATGTGACTTGATAGGCATCATACAAAAAATTGTCATAGAAAACGGGGCATTTATTAATAAGCAAGATGAATATTGTTTGCTTTTCTTGCAATTACAAACTGGGTATGGCAACTCAGACGTTATCAGGGTTAAACAAGTAATTTTATAGGTAACTTCTTTTTCTTTTTAGTATTTTTTCTCTTGTAGGTAAACTGGACCAGATGATTTCTTATTTATTGACCTCTCCATATGAATAGGTGAATGATGGGAGGAAACTAAGGTCTATAATAATCATTATTCTATGTAAGAATGCAGAGTTAAAATAACTAACTATCTGCCTTTTTTCCAGAAGTACCTTGAACTTTAACATGACGTTAACATGTCCACTTGTCTATTTAAGCAAGTGTACTGTAGTTAAAAACACACACTTTTTTCTTTTGTTTCTTTTATATATTATGTATCCTTAAAAAGCACACTTCTGAAGGGTGAGAGAGAAGCAAGGCTGCTCTCGGATTGTTTGGAAAAGGTGGTCAGGTGTAATATTTTGTTTTTTAAATCACTAATTTAGAATTTTTGGAAACCAGATTTTTCTAATTTATGGGAACCAAATAAACATGTTGCGTCTTGTAGTATTTATAGAATACAGAAACAGAATACTTGCTGAATTTTGAGGGAACCACAAATCTTCCTCCACTTCCATTAAGTCAATAACAATTATCTTCTTGCTGAACCTTTTTGATAAAAATTTCTATTTAGCAATTTATAGATACTTTTGAAAAAGGCTGCTTCTCCTGGACAAGTTATGTATTCATGCTCTAAGCCTGGGTAAGTGCATTAGTGTACAATAATCTGGGAAAGCTAAGGCAGCCAGGTGGGACATGATGTTCCTCGTTTCAGGTGTTTGGAGAAGGTCTGTGAAAGAGACTGAGTGTCTAAACATGTCCACTGGTAAAAAGCTGCTTTAAAATTATTTCGAGCAGGCTTGCTGAAGTGATGGGAACAGCCATCACATACATCTGTTACGAACCTAGAATGAAAATCAGATGGGTAAAGGAAGAATGTCTTATTAACTAAAGGGCCAGTTTGTATCACTTATTTCTTCCATGCCTTTTTCTCTTTTGTTTTTTCCACTTTTGTTACAATTTCCCTTTTATAATAATGAAGTAATGAACAGTAGGCGGTCTCTAATATGCAAAATGTAAATTAAATTTCTCTATTCTCTAGAAAAGTCATGCCCAGAAAAGTAATTTTAATAATGTATGCAGTTCGGATAATTTTCTATGTTAAAGCAAAGGTTGATGTCTTCTTTTTCCTTTGCAGCAGTCTAACTTCTTGAAACAAATTAATATGATGGAGGATCACCAACATATAATGACTTACCTACTTTAAGCAGATAAGAAAATATTCCAGTAGTGTCAATAACAAAGACTTTAAGCCAGAATGTTGTTTAAAAACATTCTGTTACTAAGATTTTTCCAAATTTGTGTATTTACATTTATTTATTGACCTTGAAAAATAAATATGTCAAGCTAAGTGTTTGTTATCTTATTATTTTCAGTGACACTATTGCCACTTTAAATTCCTTTTTGAACAAATCTAGTTGGAGCAGGCATTATGGCTATTGAGTATATCTTTCTGCCTAAGATACTTGCTCATACTAGAAGAATTCAGGTAACATTTCCAGTTTGACAGATGTGCCTGCAGCCTAATATATTGTAGTTATCGTAATACTGTCATCTCGTCACAAAGGAAGAAGAGTTAAATGTCAATGACTCTCATCAAGTCTGAACTCCCAGATAGGTCAGTTTATGGTTTCAGGTTATTTGAGATGGCAGGCATGCTATTCAAAAGCTTTCTGTTAATATCCTTTTTTCTTTACAGGTCTTGAAGCTTTAGAAAATTCCTGAAATCGAGGGTATTGTTTTGCATGAGTTGAGCTTGACAGTGATAGAAGTTATAAGCAGATGAGCTTGTTAATATCCAAAATTAAATACATCTGGAAGCTTAATTTATATCCCCCTGTGACTAACCATTCCAGAAGCGGCTGTCACAGTATCTGTGACAGTATCTGATGATCACAAAAACCAGACAGAACTGCTTTTATCTGTAATAGCGAGCTTGGAAAACAATATTGCAAAATGTTAATGGAGTACCAGAAAGACAATGTCTACTTCGGACTGTTTACTTCATTTGCCTCTTTTTTTGAAGCTCATGTTCTGGTGAAAGATACAGATTTATACTTTAGGTCTGTTTATACAGTTTAGCATGCACATGCTCCAAATACCTACACAATATATATGAAAGCGTCTAGAAAAGTAGAGTAGAACTTGTTTTCCACTAGATAAAAGCTAGCACAGAAAACAGAATTATAGAGTTTTTGTTGTTGCATTGTAGTTGTGAAATAAAAAAGACTAAATAGAGGTATTCTTAAATTAGCAAAAACTTGAGCACTGCCATAGCTGTAAATGTTTTCCTAAAGGGCACTCTGTAAATGCTCAGATATGCCACTTTCCTCGTGACACTCACGGAGTCTGCGACCCAGCAAAGCAGATCCAAAGGAAGACTGTAACACCAGAGGATAAAATTAGCATTCCTGAAAATTCACGTAAACACAATGCAAAAAATATATTTTGTAGCTAGCCATCTAGTTAATCTAATAAAGTATGTGTCCAGGTTGTCTTACAGAGCTCTTCCTGTGGATCGCAGGCACATGCGCTACAAGTGAAGCATATGCTCGTCTGTGTGCACTTGCACTGGATTGCCACTCAGTCTCTACACTCATTTGGTATTTCACGTTATTGTCAAATGTTTCTTCAAACTTGTATATACAAGTTCTTGAAAAAATTTTCCAGTATGTAATAAAAAGCGATTTGAGTTCTTGAAATGGAATCTTTTGGTGTATTCAGCAGGAAATACTCGAGTAAAAGGTGAAGCTGATGCTCTCTTAACTGAACCTTTCTTCTTTCCTGCTACAGCAGGTCTGTAATCCAAAGCCAGCTCATTGCTTAGATCAGCTTTCTTACCCTTAGCATGCTTATCATAGTTAACTGCTGCAGTTATACAAGGTACATCCTTACATACAACATAATGGACAAATTTCGTAAAAGCAGACTTCTTCCAGGTTGTAACCTTAAACATCAGGTGATGCAGGAAATGCAAGTTAATTGATGCAGTATCCTCATCAGAAAGCATATCAGAGAAGGTCAAATGCAAGAACTTAAACGCAGGGATTTTACCTGGTGACTCAGTGCAGTTGCCTTTCTTTAAGGATAACTAGCCATGGACTCTTAGCAGTCAGTCTTGAGTGGGGAAATTCGGTGAGTGAATGATGCTTTCTCAGACAAGGTCTCTTACACAGGAGTCTGATGTTAATTAACTTCTGTAGTGCTCCCACGTCGCTCCTTGCACAGCAGCGTGCCCAGCTGCCCTCTGCTCTGATGGGGGAGGCTTGCTGCAGTGAAATGCTGGGGGGAAAGACAGGCTGCAGCATGGAAGTCCCTAGACCCCACTCTTGAGATCGTTGAGGGATTTGTCCTCCATTTTGCTGTGAGTTTAGATATAAGTAGCTGTAGCACAGCATGCAGGGGCCAAATGTTTTCACCTAGGTAATGACCAGCATGCTTAATTCACAGTGCATTGGCTGTGTCTGCCCCTGTATGTTCTTCACTCAGTGCTTCTGGGTCAAGACTAGCTCTTCTGACCCTCTAATAACTCAAAATATTTTTATTAGATGTCTATCACTTACTGTTCAATTTTGATTATTATGTCAGCTCTACCACTATGAGCTCCCTTTACCTGTGGAGTTAGCTCTGGAGAACTTGCTGAAACCTCAAAGTTCTTTAGTGCCTGTACAGTTTCTTTCCTGGTTTGTAGGATATTTTGTGTTTATGGAGAAGCTTCATATGCTGAAATGAGCAATTCCTTGGTTTTTGAGGTTAAGAACTTGAACTAAATTATCTTAAGTCAAGATCCCATGTTTACCTCTATTTGACAGCATAGAAAAATTTTCAACAAAATGTTGTTAGGTTCCAGAAATCCATAGGGAACAGCTCAGGTAAATTCCAGTGCTCAAATTAACTGCCAAGTTTGCTGGCTTAGTATAAACAGTATGCTTACAAAATAACTTACTGTAACAGTATGATGAAAATAGAGGCATCTGTTTCTCTGTTGTGATCTGTTGATGGATCATGCAATAAGGCACTGCAAATGCTTTCATTGCTGCCCAAGTCCTACATGTAAGGAAGCAGGAGGTGGTAGTGGTGTGGCTGACAGTCTTGCTGGGGCCAGGAGTGAAATTCGAACAATGAGCCAGATGTAAATAGATCTTGGGGGCAGACAGGGACACAAACTCATGTAACTTTTGTATTTCTTTTATTTCCTGAGAGCTGTCCTTTAGTGCTGACCCAACTCCCGTTGAGGTCCCATCGAGCTTTGTGACACCTGTTGTGGAACTCACATGGAGGTATCTACCGGTGTCTCAGGAGACAGTGCCTTTAGCTCACACAAACCTAAGATTCTCCATCACGGAGCTGGATGAAGTAAGTGTGACACACTTGGTCTGTCTCAACTTGAAGTTCATGTTCTATTGTTGAAGCCATTAGTAAAACTTGCACAGACTTGCTGAGTTAAGACTTCAGCTAAGATTATGCCAAGCAGTCTTGAAAATTCCACCTGGTGTAGTTCAGCATTTTGGGGTTTCTTCTAAATGTTGTTTAGGAGAAAGCTGGGATAACTGGTATTTCTGTCTGAAGCCTCTTAACTTTTGTTCAGGCTCACTGGCATGTGCCAAGGAAAGGGTCAAAATTGCAATTAGAAAACCACTAGTATGTAACTTAAATCAGCTGAGTAACGGGAACATCCTTGGCTTTTGTCATCTCTTGTTTTGGGGAACTCCAAAATAATAGGCAAACAGGCATTTTTTTCCCCTTTGTATGAACTGGCCATACCTAGTCATTCGTATTTGCACTAAGTATTTTTCTTAAGGCTTCCTTACGTGTCCAGTCTGTGAAGCTGATGAGTTAATGTTTATGGTTGTAATCTAGTAACCCTGCTGAGCATTCAGATACTAATAGTTTTGCCTTGAGACACAGAAATAACACTGACAAAATCAGTATTTACACTTGTCAACTCTGATGCTTTTAAATACAAGAGCTGTAGAACAGTTAAAGGAAAACTTTAAATAAAGCTTTTTACCACTGCCAGAGCATTCTTTTTGACAGTGATAAATCAAAAAATTAATGGAAATTATAAAATCAGATGTAAGAAAATATTAGTGCTGTTACGCATTGCACCTCAGTGAATACAGAGTAGGCAGGAGTTTCACAGGCTGAGCTGTCTTGGGCAGCTGCTGCTGAAAGGCCGTTGTGACTGGGTGTCCAGTTCCTTCCGTGTGAATTCATGCAGCTCATGAAGACACAGTGTAGTTTCACTAGACATCACCGGGCCATCTGGGTGGTGCTGACACTTTAACACCGACTCCTCCGTGCAACATGAGAATTCCAAGTACATACTGTCATTAAGTCCATATTATAATTTTATACGTGCCAGCTGTAATAAAGCTAGCATGATTACTTCTGTGCATGCTATAAATGCACTTACTTTCTGTGAAAGAAATACAGAAAACTAGATGATGCTTTCCTAATAGACTCCTGAAACTACCTTGAAATGTTCTTTGTAATACTGTCTTTTTCAGTCTTGGGAAATTAAAGAATGCATAAAAGTTTCTGAAGAAAAGTAACAGTATGACAGAGTGTTTTTCTCATCTTGTAGTATGTCTATATTGAACATAATATTATTAAAAAAAAAAAACAGCAACTTGATTCTGTAAGAGAATGTTGTGTTTAGCTATACATGCTGCAGTCAACTCGGGAGAACTAACAAACTGCTGCATCTGTAGGAAGCCTATGCTGTAGGAATTTCACTGAAGGATTTAATAAATACTAGGAAAAATAAATATTTCTAACCAAAATAATGCAAACTTTCTTTTTTTTTTTTCTTAAACTCTGGTCTTTTGTGAATTGTAATAGCCAGCACTACCCGTTCAGGGCTGTCCTACAGTCACAGTGGTTAGTGGTGGCTGAATCCATCTCGGGATCCTTGTAAACTTCTGGGGCAGCACTGCAATACTGAACACTCGTCCTGTAGCTTTAATTAAATGTCTGTCCAGTCCAACTTCATACTACCAGATGCAGTCATGGGGAGGTACATGACATTTCTGTGTGGACACATGCAAGCCAGTTTAATCATTTATTAAAACTTTTCCTATTAATTACCAGCATGTATCAGATCTCCCAATGGGCAGCTGGAGAAACAACTGAAAGGAAAGCCTGTACTGCCACCTGTAGCTGGAATTTCCAAAGGCTGCAGAGGAAGCTGGTGACCAATCCTATTCTTTTGAAAAATCTCAGACCAAATAAGAAAATTTAATGTGCTGTTGTTGCTTTTTTTAAGAGGAAAGCATGTGTTAGATTATCCGGTGTATTATTAGAGAAAAATCAAACTTGATTTTCAATTTAACTGTATTCAGATTTGCTGTCTTTTCAGCATGTTACCTGTTCAGTATTTTATGCCTGTTTCCAGTTTACTTTTATTTTCTCTTTAGTATTTTGGTGTCAGGGGATCAACTGGTCTCTTAATTTTAGGGCTTTTGTTACTGCAGATTAACTAACCAGAGCCAAAGGAGCTGCTCTATATTCATTACTGGGTTTGTTTACAGTTGAGTGTTAGTGAAGTCCTTTAGATTGAAAGTTTGAAAACAGGCTCTATGTGAGGTGAGTAAATAACAGTATGGAGGGGTTTGGCCAACTGCAGCCCTGGTAGACTTCACAATTAAGTTGTATTTACTTTGGGAAAAAATTACTGCTGTGGAAACAAAATCCTTTTTTTGCTTGGAAAAGTGCAGGAGCTGGCTGTCTTCAGGACTACTGCAGATAGATACAATGAGCCGAGGAAGCTGCTTGTGAGTTTTTAAACTGCTTGTACTTCAGCATTTGCATTCGTTACCATGAGTAGTTGCAGTAATCACATCTTTGCCTTTCATATACTCAGCTCACAGCAGCATGCTTGGATTTTCTATTTGAGGCTGACAAGCAAAAAATGACTTTTGAGAACCCATTAAGAAAGTGTCCATGGGTAGAATAATTTCAAGAGACAAATCTCTTGTACTGATTCTTCAACTATATTTTGGTAACTCTTGAAATCACTGGTGGTGTTATGTTAAGGAATGTGATTGGTCACACAATTGCAGTACAGACACATGAAATAAGCAGGACCCTGGGTTTGATAACAGTGTGTACTTGCAAAAAGAAAACAGTTCATCCTTCCTCCCAGGTTTTAATAGTGGCTCCAGTTATCAGCCTCTCTATAGGCTGGGCTCCTGAGATTTCAGTTAACAGTCTTTTGAAAGTCATTGTATGTAAGTAAATTTAAGTGAGCCAACTTACATTTCATTTAGGTTTTTAAGTTCTTTCCTAGTAATAAAGGTTGGATGAAATCCTTTAAAAAAAAAAAAAAATAATCTTGCTCTGGAAAAGGATAGACTTCTGTTGATCTAAGTAGTTTGAAAAGGAATTGCCAAAAACTATGAATTTATAATTTATTCCCCATCATCCTAGATTGTTTCAATATTTTAAGTGAGACATCTGCATATGCACAATCATGTTTTCATTGAATTAAGCAAAAATGTGTCAGGAACTATTATTTATACCTGTAATAGTTGGAATGCACCTCTTGTTGGTCAGATAGCAAGTCACATCTCCAGTATTATTTTTGTACCTCTGTAGCTTTGTCTTTTAAGGTTACAAACTTCCCTGTTTCCCATTTGATCCATTAGACACTACAAATTCACCTTAGAGCAAATACTTATTGTGTGTGTTGTCATACCCACTGAAGCACTGACTGAACTTTTTCAAATTCACTGTTAACTTCTTCTTTCTCTTAAACTCCTGCAAAAAAAAGTTCAGTAAATTGAACTTAGAAGAAAAATCAAAGAATTGAACAACAATAGACATATAAAATGCATCAAGTTGTTTAAACCTAAATTTGTCACTTGTGAATATTCACAAATGATTTGTTATAGAAAATGTTGTGATAAGAGGTTTTTCTCTCCTCCCACCTTTCCTGAAAGGCTACTTATTCAGACAGTTTAGTTTAACTTATTTTCTGCTATTTCATTCCTCTGGAACACTGCAGATACTTAGCAGTTCTTCCATGCAGCAGAGACTGTGAGAGGGGCAAAGATCTGGGTGCAGTATCTGTATGTTCTTACCAGCTCTTGCTCTAGAATTTGTAACTAAATCATTCTTTAGAAGACAAATTTTCAGTTTTTAGTGAAATGCTACTTTTGCAAGGTTGTCATGTTCTCTTAGCAAGGTCCTCTGTATCCAATTTGGCAAAAACATGTAGTGAGTTGGATTTGCCTTTTTTTTCCTTGCTGAACAAGTGGTGTAACTCCTGCCTGGGTAATAGATGAGTCTTGGACTGACTCCCTTATGTTTCTCTGACTGGGCCAGGTCAAGAAGGATTAAACATAAGCCATTCAATGTTAAACAAAACTAAGATTCAAAAAGATGCATCCCTTTGGCTTGAGACCACATCAACCAGCAGTCACGGGTGTACCTGACCCAGACTGCATGTACAGGATTCCCCAACTACTGTAAACAGTGTCCAGGGGTGGGAGTCTGGTTTCAAGAACAGCTTCAAAGTTCTGCCAGAGCTTGGCTAAACATAAAGAGCAAACTGTCAGATTATTTCTTTAGGCCTCCCATGAGTGTTCCTGCCTCTTTTGGTATTAATCTTTCTTTTGCTATTAAATATACTTTTAGATTTTCAATTCCATAATAGTGAAGGAGACAATTAAGTTTTGGTTGAAGCTAATGGCACCCCTGTTTTGATTTGCTCTATGCCATGTTTGTTACTTATGTCTTCCTTCCCCAAAGACTGTTTCAAAGACTTATTAGAAGCTATACAGAATATGAAGGTTTATTTCAAAAGAATACATTTGCAAGAATACACATAAATGCACTCAATGTAACAGTACCTTCTGCAAAAATAGGTTACATAATACCCAGTAATGAAAGAACAATCTTATTTCTCTACAAATTAGAAAGCAGAGATAATAGCCTGGACAACCTTCAAAATGGAGGTTATAGTTGTGTATGTTGTGATAAGTAGCTAACTTTAAAGCATGACACCACAGAGCTAATGTTGGTAAATTAAACTACTAGCACACAGCTGCAAACTATTATTTTATACAGGATTAACAAATATTTTGGTTCCAATTCGTTTTTACACAGCTCTAGTGCCTCAGGGAAAATGCTTATCAAAGATACACAAAAACTATCGAAAATTACAACGTAACTATTAAAATGCCTCCAAAATTGAGAGGAAAGTAATCATGTTAAATTAAAAAAATTTAACCAGGACTTCCAGACAAGATTTCCTGTTTTTAATCAGAGAAAGTTTACAAGAGATTTCAATAAGTTATCTTGAAACCAAGCAGCTGTAGATCTTAGAATCTTCGTGGAGGTCCACCTTTAAAGGGCTTAAATCCTGAGCCGCTTCCCCTCTGCATGGAATTGCCTGTGATCTGTACAACTCTATTAATTGGTGAAGAGTTACTGGAAACAAAGAGTTTAAAAAAGTGTTAAGTTATGGTAAATATCTAAGCTCTCTGCACACAGGTGATAACACAGTGACATCTGACATCACTCAACTGTTAAACTAAGTCTCAGAAGAGACTTGAAACCACCTAAGAGGCACCTCTGGAAGAAGCCACTCTGCTGCATGGGTGGGCAGCGCTGCCTCCAGCGCCAGGAGAGCTGTGGAGCCAGGCGCTGGCGGAAGGTCAGGTCTGTGCAAGACCCCTCCCACCCTCCCTGCCCTGCTGCCCCGCACAGCCACAGCTTTGGGACCGGAGCAGGGAATGGAGAGGAAGGAGCGATTTTTTGTACCTTGTATGTGGAGACATCATGCCACCTCCTCCACGGCCATCCCCCATTCTCCTGGTGTCATGATAGCCACTTCCTTGAGAACTAGGTCCATGCCATTCTTTTCTTGGTCCAGTTTCACGGCTGTGGCGTTCCACGACATGTCTGTCCTCGTAGTGCTAGTGAGAAAGTGACAGTGTCAGAACTGGCTGGCATTGGCACATGGAGGCATAGTGTGTTAACCAACAGAAAAGGAGCTTTGCAAGAAAGTTAAGCTTACAGCTTATATAATATACAGAAGTCGAGCATCTTTCAAGATTTCAGTCTGTAGGCAGCTAACCCATACTTAAAGGGTCCTGTTAAACTCCATATAATAAAAAGAAACTAATTTGCAGTTACTGATTGAGTATGAGGGGAGTGAAGTTCTGTGATCTCATACTGGGCTCCCAATTCTGCCCTGATCTTATAGAATTGCTGACAAACAAGTTCCACATAGCTACAGAAACACAGTGTTTTCTCAAATGCTGCAGGATCCATAGTATGGAGTTAAGACGAGTCTTAACAGCAAGTTTTTCTCTCAGTAGTATGTTACAGATCACAATCACCAATTGCACTGGAAGGAGCAGGCAGGGTGAGGATAAGACCCTGAAAATACAAGCTGACAGATTCTGAAAAGCCTCATCAGGAACTCATTCAGGTATTGTTCTGATCTACCTGAAAAATGCTAAACAAAGAATTGAGTATGTTTTCTACAACTTCTTGGCTTATTAACAACAAAAAAGAACCTTTAAAACAAAGAAAGCTAACTTGAAAACAGCTAGCATGCTTGGGTAAAGATTTATATGCTGCCATAGTCATTTTTCCAGCACAACTTGGCATTTTCCAGTCTCATGCACAAAACACAAGGTGGCTCACCTGTCCTCCACCTCGTTCTCCCATCACGCCTCGTTCTCCTTCCCTGCTCCCATAGCCAGAAGCACTGCTGCGGCTGCCAGGGGGGGCCCCTCTCACGTGTCCAGACACTTCTCTTCCTGATCGATCTGGCCTCTCACCTCTGTAAAAATTGCTTTTATCAAAATTTTGGTTTCAGTATAATAGAATTGGTACCAAGTCATAGCACACATAGTAGACTTCAAAGATTCCTTTGTTTTTCAGGTTCCTAGCAATGTGCAGTTAGCTTCTTGGAAGCATTCTTTCATATCTATGTGGTGCTTGAAATATTTAAACCCTAGCTGTTATTTGTTTACATCTGCATTCTTGCCCAAAAGCCTCCTCACTCTATGTTGCTACACACGATTAAGAACAGACTGCTGGGAGTCAGCATCGAGTTCAGAGGTGAGGTTTAGCACACATGACCACCTACAAACAACCTTAATGCTTCTGGAAAGTGACTTTGCCATTTTTTAGGAGGGGTTCTGTTTTCTCTTTACACATCAATTCTTGAGGAACTGCTACTGTGGACAAGTTGTACAAGCATCAGTACCCTCCTTAGTCTGTTGGCTGGCCAGCAATTTACCTGCCGTCCCGTTTGTCCGTGCTTATGCTTCCCTCGCCCTTCCAGTTTGTTTGCCTTGGCGGATTTGAACCGGTCTCTCTGGGATGTCGACCATGTGGTATTTCAGGTCTGTCGTGAATTATCACTGTTCTTCTTTCATCTCTGTCTCCTCGCACTTCTCGCCTGTCTGAATCTCGAAGTTCACTTCTGGGCTGTGGTGGTTCATTTCTTCTGGACTCACTGAAGTTCTTGGGGTATCTCTCAAACCCGGGCTCTTCTCTTCGTGCTGTTGGGCGAGTCTTTTTTGCTTCACCTTGATTTACGAAACGTTCTCGCCTAAGTGGTTAAAGTAGGAAAAAGTCATTTGCTTGTCTGCCGCTTTCCCATTTCTCAGCACAGGTAAGCACATGTGCGAGTACACAAAAATATTATTCATTGGTTTATTACATGTTTATTACTATCTATGTGGTATGTATCTCAAAAGATCCTTCCCACCCCAAATTATATTCACTTCTACAGTTGTCATTTTGAGCTTGAGTTCTTACAGCCAGTTTAACATTTCTTTATAAGTTTATCTGTGCACATGTTGGTCAGTATAATTTAAGCAGTAGTAGGGTCTCCTTTTTGTCTAGCATGAAGCAGGGGAAACAGTTTATTTCTTGAGCCAGCTAGAAAAGTCTTAGTTTACAGCAACAGAAGTCCAGAACCTACAATTACATAGTCTTAATTTTATAGCTGGTTATGGAGATAAGCATGAACTTGGATCTGGAACCAACATTTACTGCACAGTTGCATGGATCCTGATGAGTGGGACTCATGCAAGTAATGCTTAAACTCTCATTAAATCAGTTGCTTTTAGCCTTACTTCTTAAGGGGGTAAGTTGCCAAGTAGGACACACCCAATCCATTGTAACCCACTTATGACTAGATGTGAAAGGGGAACAACAGCAAAAATTCTTTCCAAATGTCACCCAGAAAAACACCACCAGGCAGCTAATTTAACATCCTTAGAGAAAAGTGGACAAGATTCCATGACATAAACAACCAATCCTGAAGACACAAGAACTGTTGGGACCCTACTGCAATTCTCTTGCATTCAGAGCTGTATAAAGCTTTTACCACCATTTCAAAGTTTGAACAGTTAAGAGTTATCTAAACTTACCTATCAAAAGATGATGATGGAACAGAAGAACCTTCTGGATATCGTCCCCGTTCTCTGTGATCAAAGTCATTAAACCTGTTCTGCTGGCGACTGTAATCTGAACTGTGACTAAAACGTGCATCTGTATCAAGAGCCATCTTCTTATTCTCATTCCAGTAAGGATCATCTCTCCTTTAACCAAAACAAATGAACCCTCATCAGTTACATATATCCAAATCAAGGCCTAATATGCAGAAAATTGTGGAGTCAGTTGTCTTTTAAAGACTCTCATTTGGCCTTTGAAAAAGCCACTAAAAAAGGTAGACTCTTTAAATATTAGTGAACAAAATAAGGAAAAAACAGAACACCCCTCTGTTTCAAAGTGCAAATTAAAGAGACAAATATCAATATGTACTAAAATCTGAGCAATAGTATAATGTGTTAGGCAGTGTAAAACAAACAAAACCCCAACAAAAACACCACCGTAGCAAAGTTCTGCCTTGAAAACAGTCTTCTAGGAAAAAAGCTGCCCTCCGGGGAAAAAAAAACAAAACAAAAAACAACACACACTCCCAAACCAGCCACAACCCAGAACAGCTTTCTCAGGAAATGATACTGTAGGAAACGTCACAGCCTTGCTTACTAGAAACATTAAGGTACAGAGTCTCTACGGCAAGAATGTGAGATACTAAAGCATATAATCAGTAGCCTTGAAAAATGAAGCTGTTTTTTTATTCTTCTTGTGAAAAAATATTAGTATTGTGCTAGTGTATCTACCGTGACAGCTTACGTTCATCTTCTACTGTACCACTGATACGTCAGTTTTACGGTTAAGGTCTCAGTCCTATTCTTGTAATCAAATAAATGTCAAAGCCAGTTCAGTAAATGTGGCTCAAACAGCAACTGACAGATGTCATCAGCTTCAATAAAAATGAAAAGCCATCACACTGACTTCCTGAACCACCTACTTAATGAAAAATGTGAATTCTTTAAGAAGTAGAAGCTAGAAATTTCAACCATTAAGGCAGAACAGCAGCTTTTCTCAAAGGCACTGAATCATGTCATGCTCTTTTTTGAACAAGGAGAATTAATTCACAAGATGCTTCTCTTATTCCCAAACTCTCTTACAGATAAGGTGTGCTTCATGCTTGGCATAAGCTGGTGTCAAAAACAGATACTGGAAATCCAGTTTTTCTGTCAAGACTTGTTTCAGGTACAAATGCATTTTCAAGTCCGACAAGGCTCTGGTAGCTGTTTCTTTTTAATCAGTGCCGTAAAACAGTGGTTTGAGAATTAGATTACCTGTGATCTACATCACGTGGACGTTTCAAAGAATTCCTCTTTTCCTGCTCATAACGAAGCTGCTGCTGCTGCCGCCGAAGTTCCTCCCTTTCCCGAGCAATGCGCTCGGCTTCCTTTCGACGTTCCTGCCATGGAAGGGAAGGGTGAGTCAACACAAGGAACAGAACTGCTCTCTACTGCAGATACCTACAGAACAGTTAGCAAGTACACAGAATTAACAGCCTTTAACTGAAAACCACCAATTATCCCATATAATTAATCCTTGGATAGCATCTAAGACTAAAGACTGCGTAAGCATGCTAGATCTAGAGAAGCTATTGGTTGTTAAGACAGAAATATCTCCAGTTCATTTCTTGTATTGCTACTGTATTTGTTGCCCAGAAACACATCTCATTATGTTTGCAGAGATACTCTCTAGGAAAAATCTAGTAAAATTGTGCAAGACTAGTATGGGCAATATGATCTGCTGTATTTCAGTTTTAGAAACAGATACATACAGCCGCCACATAAATCAGTAGGAAGAATTTGTCAAAGTACTCACAAGTCACAGACAGAAGATAAAGATTACAGTTATTGTACATGATGGATCAGGTAATATTTGGTGGGTTCTTTTATGGGCTGGATGGAAGGGTGAAGAGAAGAATTCACCACAAGTGCAAACTGGGTTATACTCCAACATGATATTGCACTACAGTCCAAAATATATGCCCACCTGTTCAATACGAACACGTTCTCTTTCCAAACGCTCCCGTTCCATCCTTTCCCTCTCTAGTTTTTGCCTTTCAATTTCCAGTCGTTCCCTTTCTCTCTGCAAGCATTCTTCCCGCTCGTGCATTATTCGTATGCGTTCTCGCTCACGACGCTCCCTCTCAGCAATTTCTCTTCTCCTAAAGAAAAAAAGAAAGAGGTAGCAGAAACTCATCTGAAAAATTTTCTCATCCAAAACTAACATCACCTTAGGCATAGACATTAAAAAAAAAACACACCACAACTATTTGAGAGTAAGCTCTTGCCAGAAGTCCTGGTATCAGGAGTCCACTCCTTTTAGTCCCAAGTAGCCAAACTGGTCTTATCATATTCTACAGAACCATTTAAGCAGACAACAGATACAGAAGAGTTATATAAAGAATCATCATTCCCGATGTATTTTACACTAGATTCATATTTCTATGTTGTCATCTGTCAGACGTTAATACCAGCTTAACAAAGAATATGATTCAGGTCTTAAAAATTAATGCTATTTTAGCTCCTGTCCTCTTCAAGAACTTGTTTTCTTTCCAAAAATAAGAGAAGAACATGACTACTCTGACTTTACAGGTTAGGTACACTTGTCAACAGCCTCATTTTGCTTTCTTCTTCCCAGCTCCTATAGTACATCTTACAAGAAGGAAGAAAGGCATTTTTTTCCTTTAAGCTTTATTCTTGATGAGAATTCCCTCGTTTAGAGAAATCCAGGTAACAACACAAGTCACCTGACTACCCTTTGCAAACTTTTGGCAATATGAAAAGAGCAAAATAGAACAGTGTAGCACTTCAGTCCTTTTATTTAAAGGGACAAGATTGTATTATGCTTGATTTCTCATTTAGATATACAGCAGTTCTCTGTTTAAAAAACAACTGAAAAAACCCAAACACCTTCTCTGGCCACATCTCCTGGTCAGCTTCTCATCTTTTCAAAAAGAAGACTGGCATGCAGTAATGCTGATGAGATACACCCCCCATAACAAGCACTAAGCTGTATTTGTACATATATGACTATTAAAAGGTTAAACAAAGGATATTGGAGTCTATTAATTCATATAAAGATACTGTTAGGGAGAGTCCCAGACTTTAACATCTGAGTAAAAGGCTTGACAGAATGCATTCTGATTAGGTTTCTAAATATAGTATCTGATCAATTAATGTATAAAATAGCCTTTAGCAAAAAGTTGAATTACTACCTTCGGAGTTCAACAGCTCGTCGTATTCTTTCCAATCGAACCATGTGTTCTCGCAATCTCTGTTCCTTCATCTTTTCAAAAGGCAAGATATCCTTTCTACCCCTGTATTCCCTGAATTTCACTTTATCTTGAATAATACGCTCTTTGTTCCTCAATATCGGTGGCTATAGATAGAGATTACAATGGTTATTTCGGAAGTCTCATTCATATAGGGAGATCACTGGATGCTATGTTCAGGTATCATTAACTACTTAGCTATTCCAAAGCATACAAAGCTTCTGTCTAAACTTAACAGTTTGACTCTTCACTGAAAACATCAACTGTAAGGTAGTATCAAACCAGGTAAGGATTGCATTAAATCTATAGATACTTACTTTATCAAACCTTCCCCTTCTAACTGTCCTAGTGTGGCCTTGGTCTCCTTTTGTTTGGTCTAAAACTACAACTTGACCTGGGCTTTTACCACCTAGTGAATGGGGGAGAAAAAAAAAAAAAAAAAAATTCTCCTTAGAGAAATTTCCAAATCTCTAAACTGAATTGTTACTGGCAGGAGAAGCATACCAGCACATCTCTGTAATTAAGTAGTAATATAAAATATGGAAGCTTTTACATCAGCTCTAAAATAATACGTTACTGCAGTCTAGAAAAAGAACAGGTGTATAATTGTCTGGTTTCCAGTAAGAGCAAAAACATGCCCCCAAAACAAATCAGACACAGATATTCAACAGGAGGAAACATGGCTATATTGCATACTTATTCTTTTCTTGTCTTCATTTTTTTTAGTGGATTCTTGATTAGGGCCACTTGCTCCATTATCACTCTTCTCATCTTTACCTTCTGTTTTCTTGGCTTCTTTACTTTCTTTTTTTTCAGATTTCTCAGATTTCTTTTCTTCTTTTTTGGTTGATGGAGTTCTTGTTAGGAAAGAAACACACAAATGCAATGAGGAAAATTCAACTTAAAAGGAGTTCTACAGCTTCAGAAGCTACATGAAGTTTCTTACTTGCTGGCTTTATCACTTGATGTGGTCTTCTTATCTCCCATGCTTCTACCCGAACCAGATTTCTCATCACTCTCCTTTTTCAACTCCTTTTTGGAGGGATCACCTTTCACCTATATGTTTTTTCCAGAAGCAAGCAGGTTAATACAGATTCTTGCATAAGATGGTCTATTCTGGGAAAGGTTTTTGTCTTATTAAACCTACTTTCTCAACAGAAATCTGTTGTCCATGCAGCTCTGTTCGATGGAGGTGTGCAATACATCTAGCCACTTCTGTACTAGAAGACATTGTTACTATGCCATAACATTTTGCCCCTGGGCTTCGTGCATTTGTGACCACCTTTGCACCAAGTACCTACATAAACAGGTAAAATTTAGGTTTTGAGACAGTTCTAGTAAGGAAGCAATGGTATTCCAATAATATTTTTACCCTAACATATAAAAACAAGAACCAGCCCAACAGCAACAGAAAAACCCACCCCACTCGAAGGACTGACATGCCAAGTCTTCCAAAGCAGGTAACTGCATGGCAAGTTGCAGCTTTGGGAACTTCATCCCAGCTTTCACATCAAGGCATATGAATGTTTACAGCCTGTCCTGACCAGCCACAACCTCAGGCATATGATCTAAATGCTTCTTTTGACAGTTACCCTCAAAATTCATTCACAGAAACACCACTGATATGAATTTGATGGTTCATCTCTGACAGATGAACCCCACAAACAAGTCAGCAGCTGCCAATGGCAGGAAAACAGTACTATGTAGTAACTTAATAAGTGAGCCAGTTCTTCAAAGGCATCTAGCAAATGTGTTCATTAAGCAATTTTAGCAAATTAGCTCTTTGATACCTGCTTCTTGAGAAAGCATTAAGCTTCGTGTTCCTGCTCCCTGACAGAATTTCTGTAACTACTGGAGCCAGTATTCTTGATGTAGTGATGCTCTAATGAAACAATTTTATATTTCTAGGAGCCTATAATGGTACGCTCATTTAGAAATTAAGTATTTCCCAATTAATTTAAAATTGGGAAGCTAAATAAATACAGGTACCAGCATCTTTACAGCTAAAACAGTCCAAGAAGTGGAAGTTTCAACAAAATACACTCTCAGGTTTCAACACTTGCGAAGGCATTAAATAAAATCACCTCCTAAATTAATTATAAGAATCAGATATCCAATAATCAGCACACATCCTTGGTATTCACAGTGCCAAGGTTCTGACTAGTTCAAGATGCACTAATGTCATAGGCACAGGCTTATACAAACACTATGAATTCACAGTTATCAGCAACTCCTTTGAGAAAAGGAGAACAATTGCCACAAAAACTGTTCTCAGAAGACTGCTTAGCTTATGTGGATTCTGCATTGGTCTATGGAACTTGTATGTTGAATTAAACCAAAATCCAGGACAATAGATTTACTTTAAGCAGCCTGTAAAGAAATTCATTAAGTCATTAGAAGAGTGAGTTCCTAAAGGAACAGACATAAATGATAGTTTTTACCTATTTTTCCATTCACAAGCCCTCAGAACACATTTTAAAGAACACATTTTTAAAGTCTCCCAAAGCAGCAGGTTCTAGAAAAGACTGTTTATATTAAAATTTTACTGGTTACCACATTATCTTACACTCATGGTTAAATACAGTCACTGCAAGAGAACACAGCCATCATTTATTTAATTATAAAGAGTTTTTTTAAAGCCAGTCCTGACCATTCATATTTGTGACACTTCTTTTGCATCTAATCTCCACAGGAAGAAAATTTCTTATAAAATTAACACACAGTTCTTCCTGTAAGCAGGCACTCTTACTTTAGATGCTGAAAGTACTGAGTTTTTTAGATTACACCAATTAGACCATTTCCTCTCAGACTTTTATTTAAATCAAGTACCACTCCATTTCTGTAATTGAATAGAGGATGGGAAGGAGACACACACAACACATGGCATCACACCCCATGAAATACCTTTCCATATTTGCCAAAGAGATTTTTCAAGTCGGCAGCTTTTGTGTTGGAAGACAGTCCGCTAACCCACAGGTTTCTAGTTGAACTTCCACTGCTACCACTAACACTGCTTGTACTTCCTGAAACAAGTTTCACAAAACAGCCAAAAAATTAAGGAGACAAAGGTACCAAGAATACTGAACTGTTGCTGAAAAGAGAAACTTAGCCTGTTACCTTTAAGTAACTGTTTATCCGGTTACCTTTCTTGAAAAGACTTCTATATAAAAAAAATATATGCCATAAGATTTCATTCATTTTCCCATGTATTGAGACCAACAGCTTGGCTAACTCATACCCAAATGACAAGAGCTAAAAAACTAATACAATTTGTTATAGGCATGCTTTACCCCTCATTTGAGTGTGTACATCTAGTTTCAACTTCCAGTTCTTAGCAATAATGTCCATCAAAAACCATTTTTTTTTAGCACCCAACATTTGTTCTTCATCAGTACATCTTTACTCACAGTACCCAAGAGATGGCAAAAAGGTAGATAGAGAGTTGGTTAATGCTAGCCTCCAGAAGAACGTGGTCATTTCCACAGCTTCTTCAAGTATCTGCCCTCCATCCAGAGCAGCTTTTTAAAAATACTGCTGGGTGGAGAACTGGATGTAACCCACCAAAATGATTTCCCACATATTAAGGAAAATACTAAAAAGCTGGAAAAACATCATGTGCCTCAATCACCACCACCCCCACATCAGCCATTTTTGCAACAACATAGAACTAAGCACATGTAATCTTATTCCCAACATTTTTTAGTCTCGTCTTATTTAGTTCTGCTTGGTTTTGTTTGCTGCTACATGTACGAACTGCTTTTGAGTATGTTAAAACCTAGCCAGTCATACAGGCAAGACCAGAATGGACCTCCAGCTGAACAGCTGGAAAATCTGGTGGTATGTAGAGTTTTAAAACAGAATTTATCCTCCTTGAGGAAAAAGGGTAGTTTTTTCCTTCTTCAATGCATCAAGATGAACCAAGAGCAGAAGGCAACAAAACTCAGTTATCGTCACACTGGGATTATCTTGATAATTCCAGGTATCTTGATAAACCACAACACTCTTAAAATATCATTAAAGAGCCACTATACTGGCTTTGGCTATGTATTTTAAGACAGCCTTATGGCAGTTAGTTATATATGCTACATGAATACAGCAGATTTGCTGTATCTTCATTTAATTTAATTGTAAGCATGTAACTATCATGAAAGGACACACATCTACAGAACACCAAGTTATGTCTGTCACAAGAATTTCTCCTCAGAAATTAATTCATCAGGTAAAGTTTCATTCATCCATTAGTGATACACAAGAGGTTCTGTGACAGAGGTTTTTGGCAGAGCAAAATAAGGAGACACCTGAGCTTATACAAATGCATTTGTTCAGCTATGAAGCATCAGTATAACTGGTGACATTAACATGCTCTTGAGCTCCACTCTGTGAATCTGTATAATACAGGGGTTTACAGTAACAGATGGGAACTCCCATGTAGACAAACAGGTCTAACTTTAATGCATTAAATAGCCACAGTTGCAATTTTGCTAGTTGGCATCTCAGCTGTTATACCTGGTCTGAGAGTTCACTTTAGTTAAAAATGAGCTAGAATTAAAAAGACGACAAAAACTTTCATTGACGTTACATTTAAGCACTCACAATTAATTTTTGCGTGTTCTGCATATAACTTAAACTGGTTTAAGTAACTTACAGCAGGCTTATCTGAAAATTACACCTTCTCATCAAAACAAAGACTTGGAAAACAAAGTGGAATTTGCTCTCAAAAGTATTTTGGAAGAGGAGAATTATATTTTCATTGAGTCTTTAGAATAAAAATTTTAAATCTGACAAAGAATCTGGCATAAGGAGAAACAATATAAACACATACATATAGCTAATAACTACTGCACCTCTAGCACAATTTACTACAGATGGACGAGTTCAATTATATAAGCTGTTTTAGCATGTGGCAAGCAATTTCTCAAACAAGACAATACTACCCTAAATTTGTAATAGTTACCTTTATCATCCTTTGACGTTGTCTTGCTTTCCTTAGATTCCTTAGTAGAGCTAGAGAAGCAAATTAAAAATCAGAAGAAAATTGAAAATACAGAATTTGATAAGTGTTGCATTTTATACTACTAATACTAATAGACAAGTTAACATTTCAAAAAATAAAAATAAAAAAGGGCTAGACTGTATATTTGAACAAATGATTCCCTCATGGATTCTTGCACTGATTTTCCCCAAGATGCCTGAAGATCTAGATTTTCTGACAACTCTATTCAGTGGATATATGGCAATCTTCTCCAGATTTCAGGACGGGGACTTGACTTCATTTTGTGTTCTTAGAACTGATAGCTGTTCATTACCATCATCACAAGGACATTTAAGAAAATCGTCAATTTGAAAAAAATAAATAAATGCTGACAATTCGACAATGCAATCAGTAGGACATAGTGTCTATACGAAGATCTTGAATTTTAAAAAGTAACTTATGGCGGTCAAAAAAAATCTATAGGCAGGAGCATAGGATACTAATTATAAGATTCTTGCTGCTACCCCCTTAATGTAGAGTGATCTTATTGAATGCTGGTACTCAGTATCGTAAAGAACTGACATAGAAAAACAAACCTCTTTGCTTGACCAGAGGCCCCAGTAGACGAGGGACCTTTCTTCAAAGTATCCTTTTCTTTGTCTCCAGATTCTGCTTTCTTTGAACTTTCTCTGGCTTCCTTCTTGACGGGATCACCCTTCACGCAGTCTTCCTTCTTACCATCTTTATGGTTCTCAGTCATCTCATAGTCCTTGCTTTCCTTCTCCAGGCTCTGTGAAATGGTATCCTGCCCATCCTTTGGCTTACTTGCTTCAGAATCTGTAATTTTCACATTTTTACCTGTTTCTAGGAGGTCATCACCATCAAAATCCAGAGTGATGGCATCTTCAGCCTGGATTGTAACCGATATGTTATCATCCTCAGCTTCTTTCACAGAGGTGTTAGCTTCCATCTCTTCATGAGCCGTGTGATCAGCCTCAGCTAGGCTTTCTTCTGAAGGAAGAGGTTTAGATACTTCTTGTGTACCATCACCAGAACCTGCTTTATCTAAGAGGATTTAACAGGAATAAATATGGCAAAACAAGAAGTTTAAACAATTTCATATGCATAAGCTAGAATAGGACCTAGAAAATACAAAGCCAGTTATTAGCACTGATGGAAGGTTAGAAAAAAACACAAGGTGTATTAACACAAATATAAATCCTTTACCCAGGATCACTTATTCTTCATGGCAAAACACATTTTCTAGAGACAAATACCAAAACATTAGGAGGGAGAATATGGTTCCATCCTGGAGATACCCGTTCTTCATAAGTATCCATTTTTCAGTTTAGGATTTAGCGTTCCAGAAGAAAATAGTTGCTTTGGATGCTCACAGTTTGATTTAATCTGTCTTTGAATCTTCCTGGTTCTAGGACTTCTAACCTTCCCAAATCCGAAAGAATTACAGTCTTGGAGAATTTCAGCCAGTCTTCCCCACTGGTGTCCTCTTTTGCTTTTCCTTTCTAACAGTTGTTTGGCAGTCAAGCAAGCTGTACAGGGCTGCTGCAGAACACAGACAGGTGAGCTTTAATCCAGAGTTCGTAGACAAATGGTTCTCAGTCTTCATCCACTGGACAGACTTTTCCATCTCAGTCCCACACAGGCATCTCCAATCGTGTTCTTGGATTTGCACAGATGAGATGCTTCAGCCATAGGGTCCCTCGTACACATGAAGTCTGTAGTTTTATCCTGTAACTTCAGTAATGTGTTTATTCCATCTTGTGTAAAGTGATGGTGTCCCATGTCCTTTCCAGTCCACAATACGTAGAATCCTTAAGACTTCTGTCCAGGAAGTCTGTTTGCCCAAATGCATTACATTCCTTCTATAGTTTCACTAAATGAGCACAGCTTAAGAAAAGGTAGCCACTCCACAGGTTCCCAAACACTTGTTTTACCATCCTATATACAATGGTATTTCCAAGTGACAGTAAGCCAAGCATATGACGGTCCATACATTGTGGGTGCTCAATTTCAGTGTAAGGGTGTATCATTTCACTCAAACATCAGTTACTGCAGTGCAAGTTGGAAGTTTTTGCATCAAGACTTACCGTATATTAAAATCAGAGTCCTTGAATACTATGTTTTTTCATTAAGAATCATAGTATTACAGCCATATTATACATCCACCACAGTAACTGATCAGTACTGTAATCAACTCTTAAGAGTAAAATAACTCTTAGGAGTGAAATAAACCCACTGACTGCAGTGATTCCAGGTGCTGAGCTTAATAAGGAGACAACTGATACTTAGTACTGGAGACAAGCCTAGTATTAGTAAAGAGACTGAATATTACAAGAGAAAGTTGTCTGCTCTACCAGACTAGAGATCTCTGAACTCTATTAAACTTTAAACATACCTTTCTCATTTTCTTCATCTTCACCATCCTGCAAGAAAAGGAAGTCAAGACTAAATATCTCCTACTTTAAGCAGAACAGTTCATATTTTCCACAGAATTTCTATCCCATGAAAGCAAATCAGTGAATGAAAAACTGCTTCCAAAAAAAAGATGATCTAGAAACCAAGCCCATGAATATCCGTTGTCAAACTACTGAAAAATTGGATGAAACTTCACTGGTATCTACTTGCAACACTTGCAGTTTGCAATTGGTTGGAACACACAGCTATTTTCTTCCCCCCTGTTAACTCAACAGGACATTTCTAAAATGTCCTTCATCTTGCTGAACCCTTCAGAATGGATGTCACACTGCTGACCACTGCTTTCGATGAGATGCAAGCAAGCAATCACTAGCTTTAAAAGCTTGGGACAGAAGTCAGAAACTAGGCAGACATCCTCCACTAAGTACTTAAAAATGAAATGGTGATTTCAACAGGTATTTACTTGTTTATCATTAGCCTCATAGAGCAAGACATGATGTATGAGATGTCCCTTTTCCAACATCAATTCCATGCAATACAGAATGAATTTCTGAACTTCAAAGATGTTACTGACATTAGGTATTAGCAACAAAAAACCCCAACCAACCAACCACACCCCTGCAAACATTCTCCCAAGGCAAACTTTTACCTTAAAACAGGAGTTCTAAACTCCTGAATAGGCTATAGATACTATATGACCATTTGGCACAGCCTTCTACAGGACTTTTAAGAGAGTTTGAAACATACTCCTTGCTAAGTCTATGTGCTGAATACTCCCAAACTGTAGATGGGAGTTTGCATTTGAATAGGACATCTGATTTGAAAAATCACAATTATCTGCATTATAAAAAAAATATGAACGAAAGCTTCCCATGCTGTTCACCTTTACTGTATTACATCATCTGACTCTAAGATGAATGCTGGAACAAAAATTCAGTCTAAAGTGATCTTTTCCAACTAAAAAGACATGAAAATCAGCTTAATGGAACTGATTTGGAACTTACATGGACAGTTGGAAAAGTGTAATCTTCTACATCTTGACCTTCATTTTCCTATGAGAACATAAAAGCGACTTGCTCAGCAAACTACTTGTTAGACACTTAAACACTGAGAGTCAAGAGATCCGGTTAACTCGGAAATATTTTAGTTACGTGGGTACACACTCAGCAAGGTGAACATCAATGAGCAGTTCTCGTGACTTGCATCCTTCAGTTCAGTGTTCAGATTACGTGTGTCACAACTAGTACCAAGGAAAAGGACCACTTATGAACTCTGCATGGACTGCAGTAGAATTTTATCAATCAATGCCACATTTGTTTCAGAACTATTCAAACACAAGTCAAGGAGAAGGGAAAGAAAAAAAAAAAGGTATGAATTATCGTTCCAAGACAAACTGAAACTAGTTTGGACTTCCTAGTAATACAAACATGCTAAGGAAAATGTACCCTTTGCTGATAAAAATGCATGTAAAATACAACAAAGTACCTGACTTTCAGAATCCTTTTCTGCATCTTCTGTTGTCTCTGCTGGCTCCAGGTCATGGTATCTTTTCTTTTCTGCAGATAGTAGTTCTTTAGAATTCAAGTTCTCATCATCAACAGATTCTTTGAAGTCCTTTAATTCATCATTTCCGTCTTGATCACTTGCATCTTGAGTCTCCAATTCACTTTCCTTTTGGTGTGAACAACAAATATTTGTCATAACTACGGGTATTAGCTATATTCTGAAAAAAAATCACTGCTAGAATCACTGTTTCTGCAAAATACTATATCACACCCATATTAAAAATCTATAGCATGTTTAAAAAACCCCACACCTTCACACAATGCTCCAGATTTCCACGTAAATTAGCTCAAAAAAAAAATGAAAGCTTTCTTTGGTAGAAAGAGCCAAATATTAAACTTAAATACAAACTGGGGAAAAAATGTACATACTTTTATTACCTTGACAAACGAATCATCTTCAACTGAAGCATCACCAGTTAATTCATCAGCTTCCTGCTTTTTACCTGAAATGACAGGATAAGCTAATGACTAGAGCTGCCACATACAGCAGACTTTCTTTCAACACTGATTATGTGTTGGGCCTTTATTTATTATTCTTTATACGCTCTAGTTTATCTGAACTGTTCAATATAACCCTCCCAAATTGAGTATTTTTAAGGTAAGGAGAAATAAACATCAGCTGAGAGAGCATGAACAATTAATGTTGTTGCATAAACAAGCAGTTACATCCAAGTTAGTGATTTTCACACCAATCCTCCTACTCTGAGTGATAATGGAATTCAGGGTAACATTAAACTGCACATTTCTAGAATCACTGGAGTTAACTAGACATTATGACTTAAGACTTTGGAAAGGTCTTTAGCATCACTGAGGATAATCACTTATAAAGGATAATTAGCATCACTGAGCAACTTAGGTTAAAAGGGACCTCTAAAGATCATCTAGTCCCCCCAGCCTCCTGCTGAAAAGCAGAGCTAAGTTCCAAATATGATCAGATTGCTCAGGGCTTTACCTAGCTACGCTTTTGAGTATCCACAAGTATGTCAATTGCAAGCCTCTCCATGCCACCTTTTTCAGTACTCTTCATCACCAGAGAGAACAATTACCAGAAGAATTGAGCCAGGTGAAGCACTTGGGTTTTCTACATGTTCTTTACTGTACTAAAGGCATGTTCCATTGAAGAATTCTATTCTTCCAGCACAGGCACACTTTTCTCTAATAAAGGTGCCTCTGTGGAAATAACTACTGGACATAGTTTGCTTTGGAATCATTTGCATTTCCTTAATCTTCTGCAAAAACAAGATCAGAGAACACTAGATACAAATATCTCCAAAACCCCACACCTTTGTATAGCATTATATGTCTCTGATCCATCCTATCAAAGACTAGCCTATGCAATGGTTTTCAGTAGCTCAAGATGTAAACGAGATGGCAGTCATGATCAGCACTTAACATTTTATTTTTTGACATCAACTCTTCCCTCACCCCTTCATTCTCTAATGAATAGCTAAATCAATTTTATAGATATTCAAAAGGAATAATAATTTAAAAAAAAAAGCCAAAGTTTGAAATAGTATGAACATTTCTGCTAGCTGGAATAGTCAATTTTTGTCAGCAATTAATTTCCATAGTCATATACCGTTCTTAACTTGCATTTCAAAGCCAGAAACTGCTCAGCTACAGGGTAAGAAGAGAGACTGCTGGTTTGATTTTACTTAGATTCCAGTTGGTTTTATTCATTTCACTGGCAGGTGGTACTCAGACAGTACTCCCATATACAGCATATTGTCTTTTACACATAAAGACATCTGGCATAAAAACATCTTGGCCACTGGTTTTACTTCATTTAAAACAAAACATTCCTGTTTTATATTTGTAATGCAATAGATCTATGAGATCTTGGTGCAAAAAGCCAGCAGCACAGGTATACTCAGGGAAGCTAGCTTTCCTCAGAAGGAGGAGCACACTTACACTGGAAAAGTTTTTTGATACGCAGGACAGCTGATGCCCAAAAGCAAGACTAACCCAAATTTTTTATTACTATTTGAGCATTCTGTGATATGATCCACAGCCACAGATATCTTCAATATAGATAAAAAGCAGCAAGAAATAGCAAGGATTTCTACATACATCCAACTGTTTTCTGTTTTACCCCTCTCGCATTGCAGTTCTTTAGTTTGTTAAACCTGAAACACCAAGTTTTCCCTGTATCCCATATCCAGCTAAGCATACACAGAGACAGGCAAACACAGAGCAGATGCTAGACATACTTAGCAACTATCTAGCATATACTATTATGAAAGCTATTTAAATTCACTCATTTTGACTGAGGAAATCTGGCAGGTAAACTAGAACCCAGACTTTATAGGGAACAAGAAAAAAAAAAAATTGACAAAACTACATTGTTAGTCTCAACATTCTGCAACAGCAGCTAGAAAACTGTATTTTATTGACATGTCCTCATCAAGAGGAAGTTATACCTTTCAGTAATGAAGCTGTCTGTATCTGTGTTTTCATTAGCCCTTCTCTAGTCTGTCTGTCTGCAGTAAGACCCATTTACTCTGAGTACCAGAGGTACACCAAGGCATAAGGAAACCTGAACAATGACCTTTGCTGTTCAGCTTCAAGTCAGAGTAAGAAGTTTGCTTTCCCTCCTCGTTCTGTGTTTCGGGGTACTTTGATCTGGCTAGAGTGACATTGTTCAAAAGCGGCACTTCCAAGCTTCTATAAGGACGGTTTTCAGATGTTGGTACAGTAACTTGCCAAAAAGCCAGTATCCACAGAAATGCAAAGCTTTTCCACACTGATACTCATCCACAACAGGCTACTGAAAGGCACGCTTGGCTCAATTTCACATAACTAAAATCAGATTGCAACAAACTCCTTTCAGAAATGGACTGTTTCTGTGAATTTATTCAAGACCGGTATCACTCTGAAGAAAATAACTGGGATTAAAATATATGTTAACAATCACAGTCAGAACAGCTGGACCTTCTGCAGACAACAGGCATAGCAGGTCTCAAATCACACAAGCTTTCAACATATAAAATTTCTGTACAGGTTTCCCCATGCAGTGGCTGTTGGAAGTGTTAGTGGCGTAAGCAGCACTCCCCACAAACCTAACACCACAGATAGTAATTTACCTTGGGATGTTAGCACTCCTTTACGAGCCAGGCTCAATCCCCTTCCTGGCAATGGCAATTGCTACACACCATACAATTGCAACGGACTATTTACATAGAGAATGAATATTCTCCTTAGAAGTAAGATGATGATTTAGAACATCTTTAAAGTGTTGGTTTGATATAATGAAGGTTTAGCTTTAAACTTATTTACAAGCCTTATAGTAGCATAAGCTTGTTCTACCTATTCATGTTCCTCTACGTGAGAAATTCATGCTGAGTGTATACAGAATTATAGAAGAGTGCATTTTGGACAAGTCTTAAATACACTAGACATCCACATCTCATGCAAAAGTAGAATGACACACTCAAAGTTCTGGAAGAATCTGCATTTGCATTTCTTCTGGTACTCCCGCTGAAACCCCCAACATGGTTCTATATTGTACCTGATGCTAAAGATTCATCAAAAATACAGGACAGGAGGCAAGAAGGAGGGGAGAGAAAAATCTTTACAATGGAATCATCTCTTCATAACATTATTTAGTTAAGAGGTCTGCTGCAATTTGAGTAGTATAATTTGCCACTATATTAACAAAAGTAAAATATCCTGTTATATTTCTGTATTCTTAAATGGTATCATGGTAAAAAGAATACTTAAGTCTTCTACAGCCTCTGCAGGACACTGCTCTTAGTAGTTTATGGTTTTTAGAAAGGATATACTTTGCAAAGATTTACCCTCTAGAAAAATCAGACTTGATCATAAGATTTGCCATCATTTGTAATCATATGATTAAATCTCCATAACACTTTCTAGTACAGCTCATTAGAGATATCACTCACCCCCACCTTAATGAAACTGCTTAGGAAGCATTTGGCAAGATTACTTCTTCCTATCTGAGGGCACATGAAAGCCTTACCTACAGTTGTACACCGTTTATATCTTCCTTCAATAAGGCATGATTACCACAAACAAGGAAAACAACTTTCTAGTATCAGAACCACCTATGCAGTGTTTCTACAGTTCAGCCTGCATGTTATTTTTCAAGTGTTCATTATGACTTACTGTATCTTAAATTTCTATCATCAATACTGAGTTCAGGAATTTTAGCTTAACAGTTCCCTCGCTCCAAAGATTCTTTTCTATAAATCATCTACTCATTAACACGCAAGAAGACAGTCTAATTTAGAATTATTGTTCTCCTTACAAGTAATTTACATATATCTTTCCTCAGAAAAAGGAGAATGTATTCATTTCCTCATAACGTACTCTATCTTAAGTAAAACACTTGAGAAAGAGTAGGGTCTCTCCAGCTGGTTTAATCTTGATAGAAATATTTAAAAGTTTGCAGGGCTGAGGGTTGGACTTGATGATTCTAAGGGTCTTTTCCAACCTGAATGACTCTGATGTGTAGGGATTGAGAACCACTGGTCAGATACCTAGAAATGGTAATAAATTAACAAACCTACTTTGTGTGTCAATTAAAACAGATATGCCTGGTACTGCGTGTAAGGGTACACACACTGCCACCGCCCTGCCAACATTTGGGAAAGTCACTTTTCAGTCTTTACTATTTTATTCAGCAACTGCAAGCAGATCAACAGAATTGGTCCCTGAGAAGAAGCAACAAAGAAGCTACCTGCTTGTCTTAAAAAAATAATTTTAAAAAGCAGGTCAAAGTTCAGGAAGAACATTCATTTAGAAAATTTATTCTGAAAAAATGTATTTAGAAAAAAATTGAAAACTCCGTTATTCAAGATTAAAATCAAGGCATTGGTACGAGCACCCCACAGATCATGTTATGCCCCTAACATTTTCTGTGCAGTTGAGAATCCCTATCCTTCTCCAGCGATGATTCACTGGGCAGAACTCTGATCTACCTCTGGACAAGCTCACTGCACAGCACAGTGTTTCAGAAATCAAATCACAGAACTGCAGTGAAAGACGTTAACAACTCAGGAGAAATAATAAACGGACTGTTTAAATAGTTATTTTAACATTCCTGAAGGACAGACGACATCGTGACAGACTACTTCTGACACTTCACTCTCCTTTTGAAGGCCAGCAGTGTACAACTGTTGGGATTTTTTTCCAAAGACTGTTGGGATTTTTCTAAGTAACTAAACAGTTTTAATGAAGAAATAAAAATTATTTCGGCAATAGCATAAGCCAGCCACACTGTCAGCTGTAAGCATTTGATCTTAGAAGCAGTATTGTCAAACTGGAAATGCAGTTTGAAACCAGAGGGGTTGTTATGACACGAAATAGTAGATGTCTGACTGGCCTTAGAAACTTGAAAAGCAGCAAATAAACATCTCTGCTAGCATTAATACTCTGGAGTTAAAATTGATTAGCCTAAAAATCTGTTCTTCATCAACACTAAATTCCAAAACTTGGCAGAAAAGTAACTTTCAATCACCAAGTTATGGTGTGTCAGTATGCTACAGTATTTCCGACTACAGATAGTTCAAAGGACTGCTCACATCCAAAGAGTTTGAAAAATATTTCATACTAGCAGTAAAGTAACTTCCTCTAGATATCAGAATAAGCAGCAGAATGTTCAGGCTTGAAAAGAACAGCTTTTTCCAGAAACTGTCATCTTTTTACAAAAAGATAAATTTGTCCATAGCTACTAAATTCCAGGGTGGAGAAGCACAGTTGAGGCAATTTTAAGACGCAGCTCTTGGTATCTGTTCCATCTTTAAGTTTTCAAACTTTAATTGGCAAAACCAACTGATCTCATCTGTACAGTTCTTCTGTTAAGCTATTCTACAGTTCTTTACCCCAAATATTGAATTATATATTAGTTTCTGGAAGAAGTGTTAGATTTTTATTAACTTTGCATACAGGATTGATTCTTTTTGGACTACAGAACCCTTCTGCAAGCATTCTTTAAGTTGTGATGCAAAATCCTCCAATCATACACTTTCCCAGCGAAGACCCACGTGGCTCCCTCTATGTTATCTCAATTTTGGGTAAGTCAGTAAATGCCCTATATTAAGTATGACTCCTTTTTCATGCAGTATCTTGTGCTGCAGAACTTGGTATGGGACAGTGGCGAGCTGCTGTTTGTTTTAAGAGAGAAATAAGGTCTACATTCAAATCATTTAGTCAAGGCCTTTTTCTTCTACTCATAGTGTTTCATAGGCGTTTCTTTCCTATCTCATAGCAAGTTGGCTTTCTACCATCATTGCCAAAAGCTGGTCAGTGAAAAACTGCAGTATATACTCAGCTGATAAATCAATTTATCAGGCCATTACAAAATCTTCTTCTATGAAAGCAAGTCTCAGTCTCATTCCTGTTCTCCATTTTTGTCAACCCACACCAAAAAAAGCAATGAGAGGGAAAGCACATATATCACTCACATACACTGTTCCTGCTCTAATTCAGCCTGCATCAATATTCTAGATCAAGTTTTTTCTGATAGACAATGCTAGGGAATTAGACATCTCACTTTTTTCACAGACCTTAAGAGTTGCAGTAGAACTGGCGACAGAAGACGTTTAGATCTAAAATCGACAGCCATCTGACATAGTTTGTGATTTTTCACAAGGGAAAGCTCCTTCCTCCCTCCCATTCACCTCTCTCTGGCCGCTGTGAGGAGGTTTATCCATTACTCCCACTCCCTGGCCTTTTCTAAGGCTGTATTTTCTTTGTAAACAAGTATCTAATATTCTTATCCTTCCTTGTGCAGCAGTAACAGCATGAGGAGAAAAAAATACTATAGGACTAGCAGTGCCATTAATTTTACTACTGGACAGCAGTAAAATAATTACAGACCCATTAGTAGTAGTCTGAAGCTGTGAGGTGGGGGAAGCAAGCATTAGCAAAAGGCCTAGAGCAATCTGCCAGCAAAACCAATAAAGGAGGTAACATTTCTGGTAGTGAAGAGCGTATACAAGCACAAGGAGGCTCAAGAGAGCAAATTTTAAACAAAAGTTCCGTCTTACTGAATTGAGTTGACGGGCATGCATCTCCCACATGCCTTTGAAAGTTTCCTAGAGACATTAGGAAATGGATTTTTGAAATGCTAGATTTCTAAGTTTTGAGGGATGTTCTCTGGTTACTAGTAACATATTTTGGCAGAAGGCACCAGATGAGGAGATAACATCAGAATGAGCAGTTAACACATGCACAGAATAGTTAAAAAGAAGTATTTTTTTACTTCTAGCTGTAAGAAAACAGTAAGATCAAAAAAGATTTTCCCTAGACGAATTAGTGAGTTTTTCTTGTTCCACATTTGAAGATTAACATAGCATGAACCTCTCATACTTTCGGCACAAAACTTTCTCAATCCAAAAAGTAATGAGGAAAAACTCTTGGCCTTGTAAACTGAACAGATGATAACTTCATGAAGGTCGTATTTTATTCTGAAGTTCACCAGGAACGTACAGGTCCTATGTATGCCTTACGAATCAATTCCACAGAAAAAAATGGCAAGGAACAGCTACTACTGAAGCCCTGCCTCAGGCAGCAGCGTCACTAGCAGGCAAACTACCTTTGCAGATGCAAAATAATATAACTAAAGAAGCTGGTTGAAGAACATTATGCACATCATGATATTAGTTTGGAGAACAGGAGGATAGAAAGCAGCAGGTAAGAGAAGTATTCAATTGCAGCAGAACAAGTAGCAATTTAGATCTCTACACAAAAAATGGTGGAAGCATTTCCGTATTTAGTTTCCATGTAGTTTTCTTAAGCAAGTTACCTTTCCAAAGTAGGAAAAAAAGTAATGTCACAGAAGAAAATGAAACCACATTGTGAAACAGTTTACCTCCTTTCACTTTTCTAGTGTTTCAGAAATAGAGATAAGTTATTCAAACTTTCTAGGCACATACATTTTATTAAATTGCCCATTCACAGCACCAAAGGCATGAATAATCACTTCTGCCACAAAACTCAGCCTAAGACAAGTGACAGTGGTATAAGATTGATCATTTCCAAAACAGCACGTGTACGAACATCTACAGCCCATGTGTGAGCATTCTTAGCATGTATGTTCAATGAAGAGCGCTATCCATAAAACAGATTTCCTTTCCCAGTATTACTTGATCAGGGATGTTCCCGGAACAACAGAAAACAAAAGCCCAAACAAAAATCCCCTGAACCCAAACTTGGAAAACAGTATTTAAATACTTATGCAAAAGAAAACAGAGCCCACACAGTCACTGCCAAACAGATTCGTACAGCATCTAATTAATTATTTTTCACAATAGAAAGCCAAAAATCTCTCAATCAGACACTTTACAGTGAGCCTTCATAGCCCATTCGGGAAATTAATATTTATAAATCCTGTCTTCTGTAAAAAGTATGCTAATAAAGCCACACAACACAGTCCTCTTCAGGCAGTGGCCCCCTACCACTGATGATCGCTCATGACCAGCCAAAGTCCAGCATCTTCCCGTGGCTAAACAGCCTTAGTTGTGCCTTGGTGGCTGCACAGATACAGTCAAACACTACAGAGGTACCTGTATCCAGCACCAGAGCTACACTGCAGTTCTGCACCTGTAACGCTCCCAGTGCAGGAGCTCTGCTAACACAGCATTCTCCAAAAATCTCACCGAGCATCTACACAGCCTCAGCACAAGTCCCGAGGATCTGTGGGTAGTACAGCCACCACCTCCTACCACATCTCTTAACCCACCCATTTTCCATATATATCCAGCATCCCTATACATTGCCTATATATAGTGACCAAAAATAGATGAGCGAGGCAAAAGATGTCTTACAGGGCAGAAGTCAATCGCAGTAAAGTCACAACTGTATCCAAACTACAGGCCAGAGTTCCACCTTCCTGAAGGGGATATATGCAACAAGAACTGCTTAAGAACATAACGTATATCGACAGATCTTAACCTTTGCCTTTAGTTGGTTTCTTGGTGGGTGTGTCAGCCGAAACAGTTATTTCAATATTATCTGGATCACCTCCTTCCTCTTCAATAGCCTAAATGAGACAAAAAATACAGTTTTTAACGTATTTCAGTGGGAAGCTTGACAATTTGACTTCAGCAGAAGTCAGTGAACCAAACAATTATTTTTTTCTATCTCAGAAATATTTTCTAAAACACGTTGGCACAAACCTTTCACTTAAAGCTGGAGGAGAGGAAGGGAACGCTAACGATAATAGCAAGAGTTTAAGCTGGCAAAATGAAAATTTCAAAGTACAGCTTATCAAGTATCAGCTCGTTTCTCCTTGGGAACATAACACTAGAAGGCCACTACGACATCCATGATGACATTAAAGGCAGCACAACACCGGGAAGGAGGGAAGCACACAAGACCTACAGCCACAGCCAGCGCCGGAGCTCGCCCCGGCGGCCGCCTGACGAGCTCCAGCGCCC